AATAATCTTCGTGGCAAAGAAATACTTCCATAAACATATTAACACCACTTTCTGACGTTTTGCTAACACAAATCTCTGTCTTGTCTTAACCGCAGACCTTATTTCAGGATCACAACATTCAGGAAACCATTGACTTCCGGACCAGGGAACAGGAAGTGATGAAATGCTGACTCACTACAGGGTTGTAGGACTCATTCCTGCACCAATCTGTTAGGATCTCAAACACGGCTGTTTTCTGTAGAGTGCAGAAACGCTAAAGCAATAAAGTGGTGTGTGATTGTTCTAAAGTTCAGGTCCTGGAGGGTTTCTGCTTTTATGGGAGTGATGGTTAGTGACCACTGCTGTTAGTAGAGGTCATAAGGCTGCTGGCTGTGGATGAGACACGTCTGATTAGAGAGAGATGGACTTTTATTAATCCCTCGTGGGGAAATGGTTTCTCTGCATTCGACCCATCCTAGTGCAGGAGCAGTGCGCTGCCATTTTGAACAGTGCCCGGGGAGCAGAGTGGGGAACGGTGCCTTGCTCAGGGACACCTCGGTAGCACTTGGTCTTGCCGGGACTTGCCAAGCCAAGTCCCTATGGACTTCGCCACCACCGCTCCGATTACATTTGCTTGTTTCCATGTGTTTCTTTGTTTGCCTGTTCGGAAAGTAGTCAAATGAGGCCTGGCTGTGTAATGAGAGGCAGGAAGATGAGCTGCTGCGTTTATTCCCATGACTCAGGGATCAGGAGTCATTTGGCTTTGAAGTGTTTATTCGTGGGATGTAATTCCAGCGTTTTGCTAGAGGTATGAATCGGGACTGCGTTTTTTAGTCCACTCATTTGTTCCAGACTTCAAAATATCTTTACTAGGGATGCATACCGGTATCCGGTATGACCGAAATACCGGTTACTGGTGGCTACGGTATACCGTACCAAAATCAGATCCGGTTTCGATTTTCGTGGCCCGTGACGGCGGGTGTTATAAATTAGATTGCAGAATCGTTTGTCTTCATATTTTATGTATTTTTCATTGTGTGTTCAATACTAGAAAGGTAAGTCCCACAAATGAACTGATGGGATTTGTTTTCTCTCACCAGTGAATGTTGATTTTAAAGATGAGATTTGTTTGTTTGTGCAATGCCGAGATCTCATGACCTTTATTCTATTATGTATTTGTTCTCTCGTCGAATCTCAGGTTTAACATTAAGAGTTACACTTTTTCCACTTTAACCTAACAGCTTCTGCAATGTCCCTTTTTTTTATAAATTCAAAAAACAATGCTGTATGTGAGCCTCTCCGCTCACACAGGGTTCAAATATGGACAGAAAGAGCAGGTCCGTGTAACACAGGCGTTTATTAGCTCCAAACAAAAGTATCCACGGGTCTCCAACGTTGCCCGCGTGGCAACCTTCACAGGTCCTTTTGCCCCCTTCCAGGATCCCGCCTACTGCAAACAGACCAGAACCAGGTTACGACATGCTTTTATTCCGGCACTGATTACCTGATTCCGATCAGCTGTCTGGCCTCCGGCCGAGCCACTCCCTTCACTCCAGCAGCCGGCGCCCTAACCCCACCCCGCTGCCACACTGTACAATTCAGAAGCTTTCTTCCTTAGTATATATGTGTGAGTTTCTCAAGAGCCAGTGCCGGTGGAAGGGGCAACCAACAAGTTCGACAACATTTGTTGATTTGGTCCACCTCCAATCGACAGACACAGTTCCTCTCCTCGGTTCTTCTTGTATCTCCAGTTTTCCTCAGTGTCCGTCTTCACATTCAGCTTCACGTGTTACTGCTGCTTGGCGCTGCATTTAATTGCTCTTTTTACTGCGCTGTTAGTGTACAGTTTTATTATTATGCTGCTGTGTTCACTGTGTTAACCAAATGAAAAAGTTGTGGCGGTCAAACGCGTGTCACTAGGACATCAAACATCTGGTCGTAAAGGGACAACTCTGAAAGCAGAAAGCTGCAGTTATGTACGCTCACATGTTAGACGCCACCAACATGAAATGTAGATTAACGCAGCATTTTGTCTCACGTGATAACATTCGGAGGACTCCTGGACTAGCGGTACAAAGGGAAGTGACAACATATATAATAACCGGGAGAGAGAGGAAACTGATTTGTGAAGCCACAAGGTGATCTTTTAACTCTCTTAATCACCAGCAGCTAATTTGCAAGCTTACGACAAAACCAAAACAACTTTCTCATAACAGAAAGCGACCACAGTAAACCATAACAATACTCAGAACTTCTGTGAGTTGCACGTCCCACGTCGACAACAACAAAACACTGCACTGCTGCACAGATCATCCACTGCCATCCATGCAGCTCACAGGAGAAGGAAGAGAACGACTGCAGCCTTCCTCAGGTCTTTATGGAGGCCCTGATTGGGAGCACCTGAGGGAGAGGCTGCACCTGGAGGGAGAGGGGGAGAGAGACACACACACATACACACACACACATTATCTATCAGTGTGTTGAGAGAGTCCTCCTCAGGGTAACGGGGATGTTCCTAATAAATGCTTGTCTGCTTTGAGATCTTGTTTTTTAAAGACAAAATATCACGTGTTCTTGTCCTTCAGATGTCGTGATTAACGGATATATCTTCATTATTGCAGTTCAATCAGGAGAGACGGTTTTGATGTAAGAATACTAGTGGTGCACGATAATTATCGGCCTGATAATTATCTGCCCGATGATTAGGAATTATGACGTCATCCCGATAAACCCGATACAAGTATTAATAGCCCCGATAATATACAATATATATTTTGGGTAAAAAAAAAGAATAAATACTGCGGAGTGGATTGGGATGAGGAGCGCTTGTTTTTCACTCGGCTCCTCCCGTTTTGCCAGTACTGTGGTATTAGTGGTTTAGGAAGAGGGGAGTTCTTCACAAATCCAGCGCTCCCTAACTCATGCCTGGCTGTGACGTAAATGGTGTGCGGCCGTGAAGCCAGGACAGTAAACAAACATGTCGCCGGTAGTATGGGACTATTTCAAAGTTTCAGAGTTAGATAGTTTGCTTGCTATTTGTATTAACAAATGCAGAAGTTCCACGAGGAGGGAAAAAGGCAACGAGCTATAATACTTCCTGATTAGTCACCTGAAACATCGCCATCGCTACGATGGTGTGTTAAAAGCGTACGAAGACGCCTGCGCTGCTAAACTAGCGGCGAATCCAAAGCCAGCTGCAAAGGCACCGGGGCTTTTACCTATCGACGAGGCTTTTGAAAAAGGCAAGAAGTTTATTTGGGAAAAATGATCAGGAGGGCGTATTTCATTTTGTATGATTATTATGTATTTAGCTTGTCTTGTTGTTGTTGTAGAATTCAAAGGAATATATCGTTGCGCCCTCAAACCAAAATGCAGATTTCCCCCGTAAAATGTGAAAGTGATTCCAGAAAACAATATTTCTGTTCCTCAAAAAGTGCATAATTCCTCCAGAACTCTGAGTCTCAAACAGAGCGCCAGACAGCTTTGCTTTTACGGAGCTCCCACGTCACGTTGTTGTTTACGTCCGCGGAGACATCTTGTTTACGGGCGTCATGATCTCGAGATAATTTATATATCTTATACGCAAGATCAGCGCCACAGTACTCTTGAAACCCCTGTTCCTGTACGGTGGCCTTCAGGTTCAAACGCGCTACAACTCTTCCATCAAGAGAAACACGCTGCAGATTCTCAAAGGATGCAAAAACAGCTTAAAGAAACATTTCCAGCAACTTGAACATTCTACATCTTTGTGAATCCTCAAGTCTGCTCGAAACTAGCACTCATCACAACGATCTAATAATCAGGGAAGCACTGAGGAACAATCAGTGCACCCACACGTCTCTTTGCTTTGACTCACGTGCTGATCTGAATACACAGGATGAGATCAGTTAATCAGTGCTATCTGCATCTCCTCTCATGAACTGATGAGTGCTCGAGGACGGACTCATTCTCAGGCCCTCTGTAGTCAACACTGTATGGAGGACTACAATTGTGTGGGAGAGACGAGGGATTTGAGCGTCTGCAGACCATTAACATGCACTGGGAACACAACTATGACACGAATATGACCTTCGCAGTATTTACATTGAAATATAATTATTCCATTCTATTTCACTACTGCTATATTTTACTATATTTTTTAAATGTTATTATAGTTTTTTTTTAATAGTTCTGTGTGTTTTGGTGAATTTAGAGGAAATTACTAGACTAGATGTTTTTTCTCAGAATTAGATTTTTTTTCTTAGAATTCGTTTTTTTCTCAGAATTAGACTTTTTTTTAGTCGATATTTGACTTTTTTGTCAGAATTAGATTTTTTTTTACTTGAAATGTTGCTTAGTCCTCTGAATTAGATTTTTTTCAGAATTGGACTTTTTCTCAGAATTTGATTTTTTTCTTAGAATTAGTTTTTTTGTCAGAATTTGACTTTTTTGTCAGAATTTGATTTTTTTCAGAATTTCACTTTTTCTCAGAATTTCACTTTTTTCTATTTCAATGTAAATACTGCTATATTTTATGTTATTATAGTTTTCTTAAAATAGTTCTCTATCTGTGTTTTTATTTTACTTTTATGTATGCACCACGACATCAAGTCAAATTGCTCAACTCTGTCTCAACTCACCTGGTTCTGAGAATACACATTAATATCTCACGTTACTTCAATCGTCCCCGAAAGCACACAATGAAGTCTCAGAGTTAATGACAGTGATATTATTCTTTAGATGTAGATAAATCAGTTAGATTTGTTGTGTTAACAATCATCTTAATTTGAGATTAAAGTGTGTTTATGTCGTCATAAAAGCTAGTTTTTATGCTCCAAATATTCTCATGAGAATGACTGTATTTTGTGAGAAACGGATTAATTGACAAGAATAATAAATGAGAGATTTGAGCCTGAACACAGGGACCACCACAGAAGATGACCTCTTTAACCCTGGGACTGCAGTTGCCCTCCCGTCCTGCAGGGGGCACACTCCATCAGCTGGGGATGTGGAGCAGGTAGAGCCTCTTTTAAAGACGCTAATCTAAAACAATCCTCTCTCATCAAAGCCTTAAGACTCTGCACTGAGGAAGCTGTGAACACGCTCTCTTCTCAGCAGCAGACGCTACTTTTCTTTATATCTGCTCAACCAATGATAAAAGAGACATAGTAGCTGAGTGTTAGCTCATGCTAATTGAATTAAGTTGTGGCTAATGCTCACTCAAATCAGTGTCCGGTTTATTGAGCTGCAGTGAGGAAGAAGGAGCCTCTTTAACGTCAGGTGAATATTACACTGATGCGAACAGTAAAGACACACTTCATTTAAATATCAGGTGTTTTATCAATTAATCGACAGATCTGTAAACTGAGTTTCGCACACAGACAATCCGACACTTTAAAGGACATTTTCGATTTTAGTTTGCGTTATTTTTTGGCTTCCTTAGTCACAAATATTTAGTGTTATGATAAAGTTGTTTTCTTTGAACCTGTTTGCATTTCTCAATGTAACATTTAAATACCAGTGTTTGGAAATCAGTATAAAAACACTACTAGTGTATTTAAAATATATACTCAACTTTAACTCACAGGAAACGTGGAAAAAATGTATATTTCAAATTGAAAGTCTTCTGCTTGTGAAGATATCCTGAATATCCAAACCTGTGTGTATATTGTTATTTATGCCAAATAAATACTTAAATTAGAGCTGATTTCTACATTAAAAGGAGATTGTTGTTGTTTGTTATCCTGAGTATCTAAACCTGTGAATGTTGTTATTAGTGTGAATTGCAGCGTTTTCTTCTGGTAAGGAGGAGATTGTCTTTAGGGACTATATCATATTTTCCAGCAGGTTTGTCCGCTGAGCATTTGTTGGAAGTTTCCTCTTTTCCAGACTCTGGCTGTGAAAATATTGAAAGTAGACGAGAAATACCTGAAATTCATTCAGACGGTGGAAAACACGATGTTCTCACACCAGAAGAGAGAGAGGCAACAGAAACTGATTGTTATCTAGTGTTTTACAAAAGAATGAGATTCCCTGCTGATGTTCAGGTGTATATCAGTATGTAGTGTCTCTACTTTAAAGAGTCCTCTCCTGCTGATGTTCAGGTGTATATCAGTATGTAGTGTCTCTACTTTAAAGAGTCCTCTCCTGCTGATGTTCAGGTGTATATCAGTATGTAGTGTTTCTACTTTAAAGAGTCCTCTCCTGCTGATGTTCAGGTGTATATCAGTATGTAGTGTCTCTACTTTAAAGAGTCCTCTCCTGCTGATGTTCAGGTGTATATCAATAGTGTCTCTACTTTAAAGAGTCCTCTCCTGCTGATGTTCAGGTGTATATCAGTATGTAGTGTCTCTACTTTAAAGAGTCCTCTCCTGCTGATGTTCAGGTGTATATCAGTATGTAGTATCTCTACTTTAAAGAGTCCTCTCCTGCTGATGTTCAGGTGTATATCAGTAAGTAGTGTCTCTACTTTAAAGAGTCTCCCTCTCAGGTGTATATCAGTATGTAGTGTCTCCTTTAAAGAGTCCTCTCCTGCTGATGTTCAGGTGTATATCAGTATGTAGCGTCTCTACTTTAAGAGTCCTCTCCTGCTGATGTTCAGGTGTATATCAGTATGTAGTGTCTCTACTTTAAAGAGTTCTCTCCTGCTGATGTTCAGGTGTATATCAGTATGTAGTGTCTCTACTTTAAAGAGTTCCTCTCCTGCTGATGTTCAGATGTATATCAGTATGTAGTGTCTCTACTTTAAAGAGTCCTCTCCTGCTGATGTTCAGGTGTATATCAGTATGTAGTGTCTCTACTTTAAAGAGTCCTCTCCTGCTGATGTTCAGGTGTATATCAGTATGTAGTGTCTCTACTTTAAAGAGGTCTCTCCTGCTGATGTTCAGGTGTATATCAGTATGTAGTGTCTCTACTTTAAAGAGTCCTCTCCTGCTGATGTTCAGGTGTATATCAGTATGTAGTGTCTCTACTTTAAAGAGTCCTCTCCTGCTGATGTTCAGGTGTATATCAGTATGTAGTGTCCTCTACTTTAAAAGAGTCCTCTCCTGCTGATGTTCAGGTGTATATCAGTATGTAGTATCTCTACTTTAAAGAGTCCCTCTCCTGCTGATGTTCAGGTGTATATCAGTATGTAGTGTCTCTACTTTAAAGAGTCCTCTCCTGCAGATGTTCAGGTGTATATCAGTATGTAGTGTCTCTACTTTAAAGAGTCCTCTCCTGCAGATCTTCAGGTGTATATCAGTATATAGTGTCTCTACTTTAAAGAGTCCTCTCCTGCTGATGTTCAGGTGTATATCAGTATGTAGTGTCTCTACTTTAAAGAGTCCTCTCCTGCTGATGTTCAGGTGTATATCAGTATGAGTGTCTCTACTTTAAAGAGTCCTCTCCTGCTGATGTTCTGGTGTATATCAGTATGTAGTGGTCTCTACTTTAAAAGAGTCCTCTCCTGCTGATGTTCAGGTGTATATCAGTATGTAGTGTCTCTACTTTAAAGAGTCCTCTCCTGCTGATGTGCAGGTGTATATCAGTATGTAGTGTCTCTACTTTAAAGAGTCCTCTCCTGCTGATGTTCAGGTGTATATCTGTATGTAGTATATCTACTTTAAAGAGTCCTCTCCTGCTGATGTGCAGGTGTATATCAGTATGTAGTGTCTCTACTTTAAAGAGTCCTCTCCTGCTGATATTCAGGTGTATATCAGTATGTAGTGTCTCTACTTTAAAGAGTCCTCTCCTGCTGATGTTCAGGTGTATATCAGTATGTAGTGTCTCTACTTTAAAGAGTCCTCTCCTACTGATATTCAGGTGTATATCAGTATGTAGTGTCTCTACTTTAAAGAGTCCTCTCCTGCTGATGTTCAGGTGTATATCAGTATGTAGTGTCTCTACTTTAAAGAGTCCGCTCCTGCTGATGTTCAGGTGTATATCAGTATGTAGTGTCTCTACTTTAAAGAGTTCTCTCCTGCTGATGTTCAGGTGTATATCTGTATGTAGTATATCTACTTTAAAGAGTCCTCTCCTGCTCTGAAGAGTCACTCTGCATGTTGTGGGGATAAAGGAAGTAATAATTATATTTACATGACGTATTTTATTTAAACTCAAACATGTTATTCTTGAAATGATTCACTTATTATAACGTCCACAAATATATATTTCCTGAATAATCCATCTGTGAAAAAATACAGCAACCCTCTCACCCTCTCTTCCTCATTCGTCACACACACAGATCCCACCAATAAGTGATCCAGAAATAATAATTTATGAATATTATCCACAAAAAACAATGCCAAAATATCAAAAGCCTTATTAAATGATACGTCAGAAACCGCTCCTGTACGGAGATTTTCTGAATTGTTTTTTTTAAAGCAGCTGGACTAGACGTCTTTCTCTCGCCGAACATTTCCACTGGCATGTGGTTTGTTGACTTTGTGGAATTTCTATTTGTCTCCAGCTTACAAGGAATGTGCCTTTTGGTGCGAACAGTTCGTATCTACAGATGCAAAATAACTGGAAACAAGAACATAAATGTACAATAGAAGAATTAAAGTAACACAAATATATTGGTTTTATTCAAATGTGTAAAGTTCAGTCATTTCGTGAAATACGGACTATTGTCGTAAAAGTGTGTTTTTCCATTTTTATTTTAAAGAAATGAGGCAGATATCAGACACAAAGGACTTTACATGTCCTCAAAAAAGACATCTTAACATGTTTTAACAACTTTTTAAAGAGCTGCATCCCCTCTCACATCTCTGTTTGCTTTGTTCAGCACTGTTAACTGCAAGCAGCTGTTGTGTGCAGTGGGATGATGTTACACGACCAGGCAATATCAATAAGTTATTACTGTTTGTTCAGCGGTTGATCTTTCATTATGTCCGGGTGACTGACGCCATTGTGGCCGAGTGGCACAAATCAATGAGAGGCTCTTTAGTTCAATTTTGTCTGGACGCTGAAATATCGATGACTGTTGGATGGGTTTTGATGAAATGTGGTTCATCGTTAATGTTCCTGTTGGTTTGTGTTATTTCTGTGTCGGTCCCTGAAGGCAGCATCCTCCCGGTCCAATGGGATTTCTCTGTGATTTTGGATTATTGCATAAAATAATCTCTGGTTCAAACAAACGTTTCTGATTCTTACACGTTGAGTTCAGCAGGATAATCTCCACATATTAACACCACTTAATGATTCCTGAAGTAAGAAGCTAATGTTGGGCTATAAAGGAACTACAGCACGGTCACATGACTTCACGTCACCACCGCTAAGCTAAAGGCGGCTAATGCTGTGCTATAAAGGAACTACAGCTCGGTCACATGACTTCACGTCACCACCGCTAAGCTAAAGGTGGCTAATGTTGGGCTATAAAGGAACTACAGCACGGTCACATGACTTCACGTCACCACCGCTAAGCTAAAGGCGGCTAATGCTGTGCTATAAAGGAACTACAGCACGGTCACATGACTTCACGTCACCACCGCTAAGCTAAAGGTGGCTAATGCTGTGCTATAAAGGAACTACAGCACGGTCACATGACTTCACGTCACCACCGCTAAGCTAAAGGCGGCTAATGCTGTGCTATAAAGGAACTACAGCACGGTCACATGACTTCACGTCACCACCGCTAAGCTAAAGGCGGCTAATGTTGGGCTATAAAGGAACTACAGCACGGTCACATGACTTCACGTCACCACCGCTAAGCTAAAGGAGGCTAATGTTGGGTTATAAAGGAACTACAGCACGGTCACATGACTTCACGTCACCACCGCTAAACTAAAGGAGGCTAATGTTGGGTTATAAAGGAACTACAGCACGGTCACATGACTTCACGTCACCACCGCTAAGCTAAAGGAGGCTAATGTTGGGTTATAAAGGAACTACAGCACGGTCACATGATTTCACGTCACCACCGCTAAACTAAAGGAGGCTAATGTTGGATTATAAAGGAACTACAGCACGGTCACATGATTTCACGTCACCACCGCTAAACTAAAGGAGGCTAATGTTGGGCTATAAAGGAACTACAGCACGGTCACATGATTTCACGTCACCACCGCTAAACTAAAGGAGGCTAATGTTGGGTTATAAAGGAACTACAGCACGGTCACATGACTTCACGTCACCACCGCTAAGCTAAAGGCCGCTAATGTTGGGTTATAAAGGAACTACAACACGGTCACATGACTTCACGTCACCACCGCTAAACTAAAGGCGGCTAATGTTGGGCTGTAAAGGAACTACAGCACGGTCACATGACTTCACGTCATTGTCCGCTAAGCTAAAGGTGGCTAATGTTGGGCTATAAAGGAACTACAGCACGGTCACATGACTTCACGACACCATCGCTAAGCTAAAGGTGGCTAATGTTGGGCGTGATGTCGTTTAGTCGTCTCATTTAGACACTTGTTGGCAACCTCTGTTTTTAAATTAACCAGTGGCATATTTACTGATTTGTGGGAGGTTTCTGTTTCCACGGAAGATTTTGAGTTGCCGATACCCAGAATGAAAGAGGTTGTTGTTGAAGCTCCAGGCTGCTGCAGCGTCACTGCGTGGTCGTACAGCTCATCTCTGCAGTCGATGAGTTGAGCAGGAGTTCAGCTGGTTTTCACTGAATGAGGAGACAGACTCGTCCTGTCTCCTCCTCAGATAAATGTCCTCGGGCTCAGAGGAGAAGAATCTGTTTCCTCTGCTAAAATGACTCTTATTTTTTCTGTCTTGCAGCTTTCCGAGAGACAACTATTCAGTGAAGATGAGACCATGGTCCCAGTACTAACCTCCAGAAAGGCCAGTGAACTTCCCGTCAACGAAGTCGTGTGTGTGCTGCAGGTAACCTTCTTCTGTCCAAACACATGGTTTCAGTCCCACTGCTTTGCCTCCTTTCCACTCAAAATCAACCCTGTTAGAGTTCTGTGCTTGTGCTAGTTTGGTCCCACACACAAACCAGTTCTCAACAACCAACAATGGAGGACTGCATTGTTCATATTTGCCCGTGTAGGCACAAAGGCCGCTGGGTTTTCATCCGCCTGTGCTGTCACTGCAGGCACAAACATCTTTCATTATATTCCACATGCCCTCTCAAATTCAAATTTAAATTCAAAGGTTTTATTGTCATATGCACAAAGCTACAGTTTAGAAAAGGCAATGAAATTCTTCTGACCTGAGCTCCTCCAACGATATATAATACAATACAAAAATAAAAAAGTGTGCAAGAAGTCGATAGATAGATGGATAGGTAGATGGATAGATAGATAGATAGATGGATGGATGGATAGATGGATGGATGGATGGATAGAGAGATAGATGGATGGATAGGTAGATAGATAGATAGATAGATAGATAGATGGGTAGGTAGATAGATGGATAGACGGATAGATAGATAGACGGATGGATAGATAGATAGATAGGTGGATAGATGGATGGATAGGTAGATAGATAGATGGATAGATAGATAGACGGATGGATAGATAGATAGATAGGTAGATGGATGGATGGATAGATAGATAGATAGATAGATAGATAGACGGATGGATAGGTAGATAGATGGATAGATAGGTAGATGGATAGAGAGATAGATGGATGGATAGGTAGATAGATAGATAGATAGGTAGATAGATGGATAGGTAGATAGATGGATAGATAGATAGATAGATAGGTGGATGGATAGGTAGATAGATAGATAGGTAGATGGATGGATGGATAGATAGATAGACGGATGGATAGGTAGATAGGTAGATGGATAGGTAGATAGATGGATAGATAGATAGACGGATGGATAGATAGATAGATAGGTAGATGGATAGAGAGATAGATGGATGGATAGGTAGGTAGATAGATAGGTAGATGGATAGATAGATAGGCAGGTAGATATACTGTATAGATAGATAGACGGATGGATAGGTAGGTAGGTAGATAGATAGGTAGATGGATAGATGGATAGATAGATAGATAGGTAGATGGATAGAGAGATAGATGGATGGATAGGTAGATAGATAGATGGATAGAGAGATAGATGGATGGATAGGTAGATAGATAGGTAGATGGATAGATGGATAGATAGATAGATAGGTAGATGGATAGATGGATAGATAGATAGATAGGTAGATGGATAGAGAGATAGATGGATGGATAGGTAGATAGATAGGTAGATGGATAGGTAGATAGATGGATGGATAGGTAGGTAGATGGATAGATGGATAGGTAGATAGATAGGTAGATGGATAGATGGATAGATAGATAGATAGATAGGTAGATGGATGGATGGATGGATAGATAGATAGACGGATGGATAGGTAGATAGATAGGTAGATGGATAGAGAGAGAGATGGATGTATAGGTAGATAGATAGGTAGATGGATAGAGAGATAGATGGATGGATAGGTAGATAGATAGATAGGTAGATGGATAGATAGATAGACTGATGGATAGGTAGATAGATGGATAGGTAGATAGATAGGTAGATGGATAGAGAGATAGATGGATGGATAGGTAGGTAGATAGGTAGATGGATAGATGGATGGATAGATGGATGGATAGATAGATAGATAGATAGACGGATTGATAGGTAGAGAGATGGATAGAGAGATAGATGGATGGATAGGTAGATAGATGGATAGATAGATAGATAGGTAGATGGATAGATGGATATATAGATAGATGGATGGATAGGTAGATGGATAGATATATGGATAGATAGATAGATGGATGGATGGATAGGTAGATAGACGGATGGATAGGTAGAGAGATGGATAGAGAGATAGATGGATGGATAGATAGATAGATAGATAGATAGATAGATAGGTAGATGGATAGATGGATGGATAGGTAGACGGATGGATAGGTAGATAGATGGATAGGTAGATGGATAGATGGATGGATAGGTAGATAGATGGATGGATAGGTAGATGGATAGATAGGTAGATGGATAGATGGATAGATAGGTAGATGGATAGATGGATAGATGGATAGATAGATAGATGGATGGATGGATAGATAGATGGATGGATAGGTAGATGGATAGATAGATAGACGGATGGATAGGTAGATAGATGGATAGGTAGATAGGTAGATGGATAGATGGATAGATAGATGGATAGATAGATGGATAGAGAGATAGATGGATGGATAGATAGATAGGTAGATAGATAGATGGATAGATATATAGATAGGTAGATGGATAGATGGATAGATAGATAGATGGATGGATAGGTAGATAGATGCATAGATAGATAGGTAGATAGATAGAGAGATAGATAGGTAGATGGATAGGTAGATAGATAGATGGATAGGTAGATAGATGGATGGATAGGTAGGTAGATGGATAGATAGATAGATGGATGGATAGGTAGATAGATAGGTAGATGGATAGATGGATAGATGGATAGGTAGATAGATAGATGGATAGGTAGATAGATGAATGGATAGGTAGGTCGATGGATAGGTAGATAGATGGATGGATAGGTAGATAGATAGGTAGATGGATAGATGGATAGATAGATGGATAGGTAGATAGATAGATGGATAGGTAGATAGATGAATGGATAGGTAGGTAGATGGATAGGTAGATGGATAGATAGATGGATGGATAGGTAGGTAGATGGATAGGTAGGTAGGTAGATAGATAGGTAGATAGATGGATAGGTAGGTAGATAGATAGGTAGATGGATAGATGGATAGATAGATAGATAGACGGATGGATGGATAGGTAGATAGATAGGTAGGTAGATAGATAGATAGATGGATAGATGGATAGATGGATAGATAGATAGACGGATGGATAGATAGATAGGTAGATAGGTAGATGGATAGAGAGATAGATGGACGGATAGGTAGGTAGATAGATAGAGAGATGGATGGATAGACGGATGGATGGATAGGTAGATAGATGGATAGGTAGGTAGGTAGATAGATAGATAGATAGATAGGTAGATGGATAGATAGATAGATTGAGAGAGAGACACATACATAGACACACATAGACACACATAGACACACATGTTGATGTAGAAGGGACATGAATAAGTGGATTTTGCATAATAGTTGACCTTTAAAGAGAATGTTGTTGTGGACAGGCTGACCTGCAGGTGGGTCTGGTGGAGGAGGAGGTGAACCGGAGGAGAGCGTACCACGGCTGGAACGAGTTTGACATCAGTGAGGAGGAGCCGCTATGGAGGAAGTACATCTCACAGGTGACGCCTCCAAACTCTGTCCAATACGGAACGTTCCTAAACCCTGCTTTCTGTGGGCTTCCCTCTCCTGAAGTGTGTCCTAAGAGAAGATAGGACTTTATTCATCTTGAAGGAAATAGTTGTGCCAGAGTTACAAACATACAATAAACACAGCAGCATAATAATGAAACTGTACTCTAACAGTGCAGCAAAAAGAGCAATTAAATATCTCCAGGAAACAAAGAGGGTCACATCGTTAACGTAAATACTGTACAGCGACGAGCAGTATTTAGAAGTGCAGAAAAACGTAGTGGCAGAAACGTAATTGCACGTTGTTATAGAACATTATTAATAATAATATTGCACATGTTGTATAGCAGAGTGTTTTCTAATGATGGTAGTGGTGTAGGTGTTAGTGCATGTAAATGGTCTGCAAAGGCTAAAATCCCTGTGTTTCCCTCTAAGGAAGTTTCTCCATAAGAATCCAATGAGATTTTTGTTGACATTTAAAATCCCTGATTGCAGCAGGTTTTAGGACACGAATACCTGCATGAATATATCAGTGATTTGCAGCTGGATTATTCAAATGTCATTTTCTTGAAATCTGTTAAAATCGTTTTTGATCCGTCCGCCCCAAAATGCTCACATATGCCACTTTCTCAAAACGTCCCCGATGTCAAAATAACCCTTTTTTCCTAAATGTCTTCAATCTCAAATGATCATGACCTTTTTTTAAATAAATTCCTTCCTTTTCCCTAAATGTTCTCACTCTCAAAATACCTTCAATGTCACGCCGTCAAACTGAGGCATGGCTCCAGTTTGCAGCATGAAGACACAGTCCGTCTTCATTTCCTAATCTTCCCGTCGCTGTTATTCTCAGGATTCACACAGCTCCAGGAGGAAAACATTAAACTATTTTTATCTGGCGCTGATGAAATGTCTGCAGGCTCGCCATTGTTCTGTCACCATGTCAACTCACACAGCGTGCACAGGAAGCCTAACCACAGGAACTATACTGAGCTCTGAATAACGTGGTACACTTTACATTCAAATGGTTTGATTCATTATCTGCACAATAAAACTAAGATCTGAACGTCTCCCGTCTGAACCGTGCGATACTGACTTTACTCTGGTTTGCAATCACCTTGGTATTATATCCTATCCTGAGATCACCGCTCCTTATCATTATACTTTTAGCTGCAACCATTCGGTGGTGGCGTTTTAACCCTTGTCTTAATAGTTGAATTAGATGAGCGTTATTGATTGGTCCAGACGGCGTATAAACAGGAGGACACATTTCTTTGCTTCATACTTAATAAAAGTCTCCAACAGAACAAAAAGAACCCGGTCAAAAGACTTTTCCGTTTCCCCGTCTCATCCCCATCAGCTGTGTCCTATCAACCTATAGGCATATAGCCATGCACGTGATACTGACGCACATATAACACATAACAAGTGAGCCTTAAATTAATACATTTTAAACCATAGTGTGACTCACAACAATACCTGATTAATTAAGAGTTCAATCTACTTTATATTATTACTAAGCCTATCATTCAGACAATAACTAAATGACCTTTTTGTGAATACCTTTGTTTGTAATTATTATGTGTTAAATGTGAAGCACTTTGAAGCCTCTGTCTTAACATGTGCTCTAAACTAACCTTGAACCTATTTCCCACATGCACTAATTCCCCAAATCGATCTGAAATAGAGTACGTGTTAGAAAAGCCACATTTCCCCCAGGACACATGTATGGACGTTACGCCGCACCGCAGTCTGCAGAAATGAACATATTCAAGGCGTTAAATGGTCCAAGTAGCTGCACCTGTGACGCAGATAAACGCAGCGTTACCCTGCCGCTCTGTGGACTCTTAGCGCTGAGAGAGAGTTAAAGTTCTCCTGCTGCTCACTGCTCACGCGGCTGATGTGGAAACCGGGTCATTTGGATGCAGAGCTGAAAATAGATCGGGACGTGTCGACCTGCATGTTCACCAGAGCTGAGTGACGCCTGCTTCAGCTTCTGAATAATAATAATAATACATTAGGTTTTTATAGCGCTTTTCCTGATGCTCAAAGACGCTTATACATGTACCGAAACACTCACACACGTCCTGTCTTTGTGGGGACCGTGTGAGGGTGAAAGACTCAGAGGTTTTAGCCTCTGCAGACCCTTTACATGCACTAAAGACCTATCGAACACACTACAGGGAAGCAGAATCGGGCCCTCTTTAAACACAGACTTTTCATCAGTGAGGAGGAAGTACATCTCACAGGTGACGCCTCCACATGCCGTCCAATACGGGAATGTTCCTCAATCCTGTGGTTTGTTTTATAGGTGTTAGTGCATGTAAATGGTCTGCAAAGGCTACCATCCCTGTGTTCCCTGCAGAGGGAGTTTCTCCATAAGAGTCTGCAGACCCTTGACATACACAAAGACCTGTAGAACTCACTACAGGGACGTGGAATCGGGACTCTTTGAACACAGACTTTTTTTAGTTGTACCGAAACACTCACACACGTGTTTTTGTACTCCTGTCTTCGTGGGGACCGTGTGAGAGTGAAAAACTCAGATTTTAGCCTCTGCAGACCCTTTACATGCACTAAAGCAAGGGGTCAAACTCAACGCCCTCATTTGATGTGGCCCCGCAAGAGCGTTCAAAGAATAAAATATACAGTGGGTGTAATTGTTGAATATTTGCTTCCAATTGTTTGCCCTCGACTTCTGCTTTCAGACGTAGTTAATTATGAAGTTATTACCGGATCTGATACTAATCCAATGCAGAGGCATGTAATATAATACATGATTTAATATATATGATATATTTATATATTTATATTTATATAGTCTTAACGTTACAACCGGCCCTTTGAGTGCAACCATAATGCTGATGTGGCCCGCGATGAAATTGAGTTTGACCCCCTGATGTAGAGGAAAGGCCTCTTTAAACACACACTCTTTTAGTTGTACACACGTCTTTTGTACTCCTGTCTTTGTGGGGACGCTGTGAGAGTGAACAACTCAGATTTTAGCCTCTGCAGACCCTTTACATGCACACAAACCTATAGAACACACTATGCAATCCAATGAATATATAAAAAGCAGCATAAATACATTTAGACAAAACCGATAGAACAAAAAAACAAATGTTAAAGCACGAGACAATAAAACCATACTTGTAGCCACAGACTGAAAAACTCTCATACGCGATATTTTAAAACAAAATAGAAAACCCCAATTTAGAAAACACAGACTGATGCGTGTTCTACGTGGTCTACAAACGCACTAAAGGAAAACAGAATCTCTTTGAACACAGACTTTCTTAGTTGTACCGAAACACACTCCTGTCTTCGTGAGGGTGAAAAACTCACAGGGATTTTAGCCTCTGCAGACCCTTTACACAAACCTATAGAACAGGACGGGACGGGTGGCGCAGTGGTCTGTGCATCCGATCATCAGATCAAGGGGGAGTGCTGGGGAACTCCAGTTCGAAACCCGCTCCTGCCGCCACTGCGTCAGGCCGTTGTGTCCTTGGGCAAGACACTTCACCCGGATTTGCTCCTGTGGGTATTGTCCACAGTACATGTATAATACTAATGTGTACTTGTAAAAGCGCCTCGATGACCTCGAGGCGTGAAGATGGACGGTGTGGCGCAGTGCAATGATCATCAGATCAAGGGGTGAAACCCGCCGCTGCTGTAAAGCCGGTGTGTCCTTGGGCAAGACACTTCACCTGAACTTGCTCCTGTGGGTATTGTCCACAGTATCTGACCATTATGATATATGTGTAATGTGTGTATATGTAAAGCGCTTTGAGTCATTGAAAAAGCGCTATAATAAATGTAAGGAATTATTATTAGAACACACTGAGAATAAAGTCCAGTTATTAGTGGGTTTTGGAAAGAGCTTTGGGGAAAGTGACCGATAGTCATAACAGCAGGGAAAACCCTCCGCAGGACTCCTTCAGTCAGACTTAGGATGTCAAACAGTAAAAGCGGCCTGAAGGAAGATTTGTTGCTCGTTTGTTTTGTCCACATGAACTCTGACGAGCGGAAAGCTGAGACGATTAATTTTGTTATTCTACAGTATTGTTGTGTTATAGTTATTTGTTAATGCATATAACCCAATTTGTGTTCTTTGAAATAGGATATTGCATTGTGTTTACTTTCGTTGTATATGTAAGTGTAATTTGGCATTCTATTTTGTATGGACATGCTTTTATTTTGAAGGAGAGGTAGCGCTGTTGACAGGAAGTTGTTGTTGCTATGGAAACAACGTGACGGAGATTAACGGAGAAAAAGTAATATCTACATTTTAAAGACGGAGAAAGTAAACGATAACGTTTATGGTTAAGTGTTAGCACCCCCCGAAGAGGCACAAGCTCTTACGTTGATATTGGAGATTTCAATAAATTCAATTTTTCGAAAAAAACAACAAAAAATTAATATCCGAAATAACGAAATTGAAACTGGAATAGTACTCCAACGAACTAATATTCGGATATTCAGGTACAGCACTAATATACAGCAGGAGAGGAGACGTTTTTTCGCAGCTTTCACTCGTAAAAACCTTCAGATGTCTGCGTTTCTCTTCAGTACAGGGACGCGGAATCGAGCCTCTTTGAACACAAGACTTTTTTTAGTTGTACCGAAACACACACACGTCTCTTTGTACTCCTGTCTTTGTGGGGACCGTGTGAGGGTGAACAACTCGTGGATTTTAGCCTCTGCAGACCCTTTACATGCACTAAAACCTATAGAACACACTTCAGGGACGCAGAGTCGGGACTCTTTGAACACCGACTTAGTTGTGATGTGTCTGTGTTGCTTCTCACGGTGTTTCCCTCCCTGCAGTTCAAAGATCCTCTCATCCTGCTGCTGCTGGCCTCGGCCGTCATCAGCATCCTGATGAGGCAGTTCGATGACGCCATCAGCATCACGGTGGTGAGTTACACCTCCACACACACACCTCCTTAAGTTACACCTCCACACACACACACCTGCTTCCTTTCTTTTAGTCCCCCTGCCCTGGAGACACCTGACACCTGCGGGCTTTGTGAAGTCATTCATAGAAATTGCATTTGTGTCACAATCAGAAACAGCTTTATCAGAATTTGACTTGGTGTCATGATGCATACATCAAAGTAAAACATGAATTAAAACACAGATGGAGAACTATTTTAAGAAAACTATAATACCATAACAATATATAGTAAAATATAGCAGTATTTACATTGAAATAGAAAAAAGTCAAATTCTGAGAAAAAGTCAAATTCTTAAAAAAATTAAATTCTGAGGAATAAGCGACATGTCGAGTAAAGAAATAAAATTGTGACAAAAAAAAACCGAGTAATTTCCTCTAAATTCACCAAAAGCCTCTTTTCAGAATCAGGTTTATCACCAGGTAGGTTGACACGTGCGAGGAATTTGAAAACTCAAATGTGTGTGTGTGTGTGTCCTCAGGCCATCATCATCGTGGTGACGGTCGCCTTCGTCCAGGTGAGTTTCTGATTCACCTCCAACATGTGACTCATTCAAAACCCGTCACAATATTTAAAGCCAATGAAAACACAATGAAGGTCAGAGTGGGAAGTAACGAAGTACATTTACTCAAATACTGAATTGAAGCACCATTTTGAGGTACTTTGTACTTCTTCTCCACTTCAATTCAGAGGTACATGGTGTACTTTCCCTACATTTAATACCTTTAGTGACTTTACAGATGTGGATGAATGATGTGAAATATAATCAAGTGTTGAATCAGACTTTAGTTCCACCTGGAGTAAATCCACCAGCTACCCTGCAGTATACAAAGTCATTCAAACGAGCTGCACCTTCACCAGCTTTGAGAACACTTTCATGATCAATCATTATAAAACATATCATATATATTATTCTGAAATGGACCAATCTGCACAACGACTACTTTCACTGTCGCTACTTTCACTATATTTTGATGAGAATACTTTTCTACTTTCACTTGAGGAACATTTTGAATGCAGGACTTTTACTTGTAACAGAGTATTCCTACACTCTGGTACTTCTACTTTTACTCAAGTACAAGATCTGAGTACTTCTACTTTTATTAAGTACAAGACCTGAGTACTTCTACTTTTACTCAAATACATGATCTGAGTACTTCTACTTTTACTCAAGTACAAGATCTGAGTACTTCTACTTTTACTCAAGTACATGATCTGAGTACTTCTACTTTTACTCAAGTACAAGATCTGAGTACTTCTACTTTTACTCAAGTACAAGATCTGAGTACTACTACTTTTACTCAAGTACATGATCTGAGTACTTCTACTTTTACTCAAGTACAAGATCTGAGTACTTCTACTTTTACTCAAGTACAAGATCTGAGTACTTCTACTTTTACTCAAGTACAAGATCTGAGTACTTCTACTTTTACTCAAGTACATGATCTGAGTACTTCTACTTTTACTCAAGTACAAGATCTGAGTACTTCTACTTTTACTTCAAGTACAAGATCTGAGTACTTCTACTTTACTCAAGTACATGATCTGAGTACTTCTACTTTTACTCAAGTACATGATCTGAGTACTTCTACTTTTACTCAAGGACAAGATCTGAGTACTTCTACTTTTACTCAAGTACAAGATCTGAGTACTTCTACTTTTACTCAAGTACAAGATCTGAGTACTTCTACTTTTACTCAGTACAAGATCTGAGTACTTCTACTTTTACTCAAGTACAAGATCTGAGTACTTCTACTTTTACTCAAGTACATGATCTGAGTACTTCTACTTTTACTCAAGTACAAGATCTGAGTACTTCTACTTTTACTCAAGTACAAGATCTGAGTACTTCTACTTTTACTCAAGTACAAGATCAGAGTACTTCTACTTGACTCAAGTACAAGATCTGAGTACTTCTACTTTTACTCAAGTACAAGATCTGAGTACTTCTACTTTTACTCAAGTACAAGATCTGACTACTTCTACTTTTACTCAAGTACAAGATCTGTGTACTTCTACTTTTACTCAAGTACAAGATCTGAGTACTTCTACTTTTACTCAAGTACAAGATCTGAGTACTTCTACTTTTACTCAAGTACAAGATCTGAGTACTTCTACTTTTACTCAAGTACAAGATCTGAGTACTTCTACTTTTACTCAAGTACATGATCTGAGTACTTTTACTCAAGTACAAGATCTGAGTACTTCTACTTTTACTCAAGTACAAGATCTGAGTACTTCTACTTTTACTCAAGTACAAGATCTGAATACTTCTACCTTTACTGAAGTACATGATCTGAGTACTTCTACTTTTACTCAAGTACAAGATCTGTGTACTTCTACTTTTACTCAAGTACAAGATCTGAGTACTTCTACTTTTACTCAAATACAAGATCTGTGTACTTCTACTTTTACTCAAGTGCAAGATCTGATTACTTCTACTTTTACTCAAGTACAAGATCTGAATACTTCTACCTTTACTGAAGTACATGATCTGAGTACTTCTACTTTTACTCAAGTACAAGATCTGTGTACTTCTACTTTTACTCAAGTACAAGATCTGAGTACTTCTACTTTTACTCAAATACAAGATCTGAGTACTTCTACTTTTACTCAAGTGCAAGATCTGATTACTTCTACTTTTACTGAAGTACAAGATCTGAGTACTTCTACTTTTACTCAAGTACAAGATCTGAGTACTTCTACTTTTACTCAAGTGCAAGATCTGAGTACTTCTACTTTTACTCAAGTACATGATCTGAGTAAATAATATTTGCAGGACCTTTAAAGTGATTGGATGAATAATCTCTGCTCAGTGTAAAGCAGCGTTGAGGGAACAGGAGACGTTGCTGTTTCAGAGCAGAGTCAAACCAGTTTGTGAGGTTCATGATAGAGGAAGGTCAATATGTATTTCCTTTGTGCTGACGACTACGGTTGTTGGACTCACATTGGGAGAATGTGTGTACTAGTGTTCATTTCGTCAGCTATTTTTTTATTTAGTTTTAGTCTTAGTCCTGTGTTAAATTTCCTTTTTAGTTTTAGTCATATTTAGTCACCTTCATCCTGTTTTTATTTAGTCAAGTTTTAGTCGACTAAAAGTCTGAGCATTTTAGTCTTATTTTAGTCGAAGAAAACTAATTATTTTAGTCTACTTTTTGTCAATGAAAACTGTTGAGTCTTTTTTAGTCATCAGATTATATAGAACATTTCAGTCAAACTAGTCTAGCCAAAACCAATAATTTGTCATTTTAGTATATATAAATAAATAGGATTATATCTTGTCCTTATTTGAGGAAAAACTCAGGTTGAATGATTAAGAAGCTTTGCAGAGAGTATCTGCTCAGGTTTGTGGTGTTTTCACCAGCTGTGTTTTGGCCACATTGCTTCCCTTCTGATGAAACAATGCATTCGCTTTTTTTCTCCGCCTCATTGTAGCGACAATGGGCCCAAATATCACATAGTTTCTTTCTCCCAAGCAGTGGTGGCTTTAGACTTTTTCGTTGTCAGTCATTTTGACGGACAGGATCGTAACATTTCCGTCATAATCCATTATTACCCGTCGAGTGCACAATTTATCACTCACTCGCGCTGATGGGGGGGTCTTCGGTTAACGCGAGTGCGACCACTGCTCCCAAGCCCTGTTGTTGCCATTTTATTTTCTGTTAAATAAGGTTAGTTAGACCCGAGTCTTCCTGACAGTTCATATTGTGCCGCTGCCCGGTGTAATTCAAATCTACCGCCGCGCGCAGCACAGACACACAGCTGCTGCCCAGCCGCAGCACAGACACACAGCTGCTGCCCAGTAGCAGCACAGACACACAGCTGCTGCCCAGCCGCAGCACAGACACACAGCTGCTGCCCTGCCAGCAGCACAGACACACAGCTGCTGCCCTGCCGCAGCACAGACACACAGCTGCTGCCCAGTAGCAGCACAGACACACAGCTGCTGCCCAGTAGCAGCACAGACACACAGCTGCTGCCCAGTAGCAGCACAGACACACAGCTGCTGCCCAGTAGCAGCACAGACACACAGCTGCTGCCCAGTAGCAGCACAGACACACAGCTGCTGCCCAGTAGCAGCACAGACACACAGCTGCTGCCCAGTAGCAGCACAGACACACAGCTGCTGCCCTGCCAGCAGCACAGACACACAGCTGCTGCCCTGCCAGCAGCACAGACACACAGCTGCTGCCCAGTAGCAGCACAGACACACAGCTGCTGCCCAGTAGCAGCACAGACACACAGCTGCTGCCGAGTAGCAGCACAGACACACAGCTGCTGCCCCAGTAGCAGCACAGACACACAGCTGCTGCCCAGTAGCAGCAGACACACAGCTGCTGCCCAGTAGCAGCACAGACACACAGCTGCTCCCCAGCAGCAGCACAGAACACACAGCTGCTGCCCAGTAGCAGCACAGACACACAGCTGCTGCCCAGTAGCAGCACAGACACACAGCTGCTGCCCAGTAGCAGCACAGACACACAGCTGCTGCCCTGCCGCAGCACCGGAAATGGAACTGCTGGGAGAAAAACTGACTATCAGAAATGTAACGTTATCTTTGATAATATTTCGTCTCCTCATTTTTCGTCAACGATATTGCATGATGATTTTGTTACAGTTATTGTTTACTGCCGTCGGTGCCGTCTCGTCCACGTCTCGTTTTCGTCATGGAAAAAAAGGTCGTTGACGAACATATTTCGTCATAGTTTTAGTCAACGAAATTAACACTAGTGTGTACTGAAATTACTCCCTCGGTATGAAGTGTGTTTGACTTGTTGTTCTGAGTTGTTGTTGTTGGTTGTTGTTTGTAGGAGTATCGCTCAGAGAAGTCTCTAGAAGAACTGGGGAAGCTGGTTCCTCCAGAATGTCACTGGTGAGAGTTCAATCCTTGTTCTTCTCCCTCCTGTACTTCTACTACTTCTTCTACTTGTTGTTGTTGTTGTTGTTGTTGTTGTTGTTGTTGTTCTACTTCTTCTTCTTTGCTGTAAATAAAGTTGTTTGAATCCTCTCTCAGCATCAGGGAGGGGAACCTGGAGCACCGTCTGGCCCGAGAGCTGGTTCCTGGAGACACCGTGTGTCTGTCGGTGGGGGAGAGGGTCCCTGCAGACCTGCGCCTGGTGGAGGTACACACACACACTCACTCACTCACACACACACACTGACACACACACTTTCCTAAAATATCCTCACCTCCAGTAATGTCCTATTTCCCCAAAATGCCGCCACCATGTGAGGATGTCTCCCTTTCCCTAATCTGTTCCCATTTACTTAAAAACTGTTTTAAATTCTCCACAGTATCCTGATCCTGACAAAAACATATTCTCCCTATCCACAGAAACTCATCACTTTTTATACATGTCCTAATTTAAGGATAAATGACCTCACTACCTGGAAAAAGTCCTAATTCCAGACAAGGCCTATAACATGGTGATATAAAGGTGCAAAACCTCACAAAGACTGACGTATAATAACACACGCATACACACACACACACACACACACACACACACGCACACGCACCCTCAAGTACAAACATATATTGTGTTTTCATTTGCGGTTTCCATTCTCTCCCCCTGAAGGAACTGATATCTAACTGGAAGCTCTCAGTCAGAGTTCCTGGAATAATTTAGCAGTGAACAAAGAGACAAAATATCCACTGTTAGCTCAGTTAGCTCAGTTAGCTCAGTTAGCTCAGTTAGCTCAGTTAGATCAGTTAGCTCAGTTGGATCAGTTAGCTCAGTTAGCTCAGTTGGATCAGTTGGATCAGTTGGATCAGTTAGCTCAGTTGGATCAGTTGGATCAGTTAGCTCAGTTAGCTCAGTTAGATCAGTTAGATCAGTTAGCTCAGTTAGCTCAGTTAGATCAGTTAGATCAGTTAGCTCAGTTGGATCAGTTGGATCAGTTAGCTCAGTTGGATCAGTTGGACCAGTTAGATCAGTTAGCTCAGTTAGATCAGTTAGATCAGTTGGATCAGTGAAAAAGGGAGCACACTCCCAGCTCATAGCGCGGTGCAGGAATGGTCATTTAATTCTAAAATGAGTCAGCATTGTTTTAGTTTTTTAGCCTGAAATGAGGTTTGTGGTTAACACAAGCTGAAGAGAGTTTAACCTTTTGTTCTACCTCATAAAATACTTCAGTAAATTCCCCACTGGTGGATTTAAAAACAGAGGTTACTAACAAGTGTAAATGAGATGACTAAATGTCATGAAGCCCAACATTAGCCACCTTTATCTTAGCGGTGGTGACGTGAAGTCATGTGACCGTGCTGTAGTTCCTTTATAGCCCAACATTAGCCTCCTTTAGCTTAGCGGTGGTGACGTGAAGTCATGTGACCGTGCTGTAGTTCCTTTATAGCCCAACATTAGCCTCCTTTAGCTTAGCGGTGGTGACGTGAAGTCATGTGACCGTGCTGTAGTTCCTTTATAGCCCAACGTTAGCCACCTTTAGCTTAGCGGTGGAGACGTGAAGTCATGTGACCATGCTGTAGTTCCTTTACAGCCCAACATTAGCCACCTTTAGCTTAGCGGTGGTGACGTGAAGTCATGTGACCGTGCTGTAGTTCCTTTATAGCCCAACATTAGCCTCCTTTAGCTTAGCGGTGGTGACGTGAAGTCATGTGACCGTGCTGTAGTTCCTTTATAGCCCAACGTTAGCCACCTTTAGCTTAGCGGTGGAGACGTGAAGTCATGTGACCATGCTGTAGTTCCTTTATAGCCCAACAATAGCCACCTTTAGCTTAGCGGTGGTGACGTGAAGTCATGTGACCGTGCTGTAGTTCCTTTATAGCCCAACATTAGCCACCTTTAGCTTAGCGGTGGTGATGTGAAGTCATGTGACCGTGCTGTAGTTCCGTTATAGCCCAACGTTAGCCTCATTTAGCTTAGCGGTGGCGAGGTGAAGTTATGTGACCGTGCTGTAGTTCCTTTATAGCCCAACATTAACCGCCTTTAGCTCAGCGGTGGTGACGTGAAGTCATGTGACCGTGCTGTAGTTCCTTTATAGCCCAACATTAGCCTCCTTTAGCTTAGCGGTGGTGACGTGAAGTCATGTGACCATCCCATGGAGAAATCCCTTTGGTCCAGGGAGATGCTGCTCTCAGGGACCAACACAGAAATACCACATCCCTGCACCCCTGTATTTGAGAGTGTTTATTGACCCCTCTGCCCCCCCCTTAGGCGTCAGACCTGTGTGTGGATGAGTCCAGTCTGACAGGGGAGACGTCTCCCTGCTCCAAGTCCACCCTCCCCCAGCCGGCCTCCTCCAACGGAGACATCGCGTCCCGCAGCAACATCGCCTTCATGGGGACATTGGTGCGCTGCGGCCGGGCCAAGGTACTTATTATTATTATTATTATATATATCTTTATTGAACAAGGACTTATGCTATATGTCAGACTATAGCTAAAAGCTCATTTCCATCTGCTTGTCCCCAGGCAGGAAACACGCATAGCAATCAACCAACATTAAAACATCTCATAAAGCCTATCACACTAACAAATAAAACAGATCAAAAACAGATGTATAAACCATATATTTGTCAATAAACATATCATTTTACAAATAATTTAAAGGTCTCCTATTTGTAGGCATGCATTATGGGTCAGATACAGCTAAATGCTGCCATATTATATTCCAAACCACATCAAGGATTATTTCTGAAACAGTAGGATCTCAAACTCTCAAAGGTGAGTTCCTTTTGATGTCCTGCTTCTTCACACACTCTCTCCAGCACAGGTTAGCTCTGAGTGTTAGCATGCTAATGTAAACACAGACCATATTACTTCCAGAACACGTGTCATTGTTTCTGACAGCAACGTTTCTGATTGGCCCGCCCACATTTTATGTCGTCATGACGCAGCAAATCTGGATCAGCTCCGTTGTTCCCCCGTTTTTAGAGATGTGGGTACGAAGGAAAAGAGAGAGGGTTGTATTTTCTGACACCGGGGACACATATTGATGTATAAAAGACATCAGAAAGTGCATTTTCTATGATAGGAGACCTTTAAACTAACATCTCAAATTACAGTAAAAATAATGTTGACAAAGTCCATTTTTTTGGGGGTGAAAAAGTGAAGATCTGCACCAGTTTTACAAACAGTGTTATTGCACATCAGGGGTTTTCCAGTCTGTGTGGTGGTTCAGTGACGAGGTGACCAGAGCGCTCCAGAAACATAAACGCTTTTTTGTTTTCAGGGCATCGTGATCGGGACCGGAGAGAATTCAGAGTTTGGGGAAGTTTTCAAGATGATGCAAGCAGAAGAGGTACGTTATCCTGACTGAACATCAGCAGGAGAGGACTCTTTAAAGTAGAGACACTACATACTGATATACACCTGAACATCAGCAGGAGAGGACTCTTTAAAGTAGAGACACTACATACTGATATACACCTGAACATCAGCAGGAGAGGACTCTTTAAAGTAGAGCCACTACATACTGATATACACCTGAACATCAGCAGGAGAGGACTCTTTAAAGTAGAGACACTACATACTGATATACACCTGAACATCAGCAGGAGAGGACTCTTTAAAGTAGAGACACTACATACTGATATACACCTGAACATCAGCAGGAGAGGAATCTTTAAAGTAGAGACACTACATACTGATACACACCTGAACATCAGCAGGAGAGGACTCTTTAAAGTAGAGACACTACATACTGATATACACCTGAACATCAGCAGGAGAGGACTCTTTAAAGTAGAGATACTACATACTGATATGCACCTGAACATCAGCAGGAGAGGACTCTTTAAAGTAGAGACACTAAATACTGATATACACCTGAACATCATCAGGAGAGGACTCTTTAAAGTAGAGACACTACATACTGATATACACCTGAACATCAGCAGGAGAGGACTCTTTAAAGTAGATACAATACATACTGATATACACCTGAACATCATCAGGAGAGGACTCTTTAAAGTAGATACAATACATACTGATATACACCTGAACATCAGCAGAAGAGGACTCTTTAAAGTAGAGACACTACATACTGATATACACCTGAACATCAGCAGGAGAGGACTCTTTAAAGTAGGGACACTACATACTGATATACACCTGAACATCAGCAGGAGAGGACTCTTTAAAGTAGAGACACTACATACTGATATAACCTGAACATCAGCAGGAGAGGACTCTTTAAAGTAGAGACACTACATACTGATATAACCTGAACATCAGCAGGAGAGGACTCTTTAAAGTAGAGACACAACATACTGATATACACCTGAACATCAGCAGGAGAGGACTCTTTAAAGTAGAGACACTACATACTGATATACACCTGAACATCAGCAGGAGAGGACTCTTTAAAGTAGATACAATACATACTGATATACACCTGAACATCAGCAGGAGAGGACTCTTTAAAGTAGAGACACTACATACTGATATACACCTGAACATCAGCAGGAGAGGACTCTTTAAAGTAGAGATACTACATACTGATCTGCACCTGAACATCAGCAGGAGAGGACTCTTTAAAGTAGAGACACTAAATACTGATATACACCTGAACATCATCAGGAGAGGACTCTTTAAAGTAGAGACACTAAATACTGATATACACCTGAACATCATCAGGAGAGGACTCTTTAAAGTAGATACAATACATACTGATATACACCTGAACATCATCAGGAGAGGACTCTTTAAAGTAGAGACACTAAATACTGATATACACCTGAACATCATCAGGAGAGGACTCTTTAAAGTAGATACAATACATACTGATATACACCTGAACATCAGCAGGAGAGGACTCTTTAAAGTAGAGACACTACATACTGATATACACCTGAACATCAACAGGAGAGGACTCTTTAAAGTAGATACAATACATACTGATATACACCTGAACATCAGCAGGAGAGGACTCTTTAAAGTAGATACAATACATACTGATATACACCTGAAGGGCCCCTTGAAATATATCCAGGTTTCTAATCAGATGTGTGTGCAGAACAAAGACTGGAGAGAATAGTAACTTCATTGTGTTTTAATGTATTTATTTCAGAGACTAAAAGTGACTCCTGCTGTAAGGAAATACTTTGCCTTTCACGACAACGTATTTCCCTTTAGGGGCAAGACCAACGTCTCACAGCTCCTTTAAAAACAGGAAGCCATTGTTCCAGAAAAGGGTTTTTATAAGGGGAGACATCTGAACACTGTGCTCCAGGTGGATATAGATTACAGTCAACTGGAGTGCACAGAAAGTGATCGCAGCGAAACGCCTCAGAGTTCTGATTGGTTAGCTGACCGGCTCTGTTGTGATTGGTCACCCGTTTGGAGATGTCCCGCCCCCTTAGCCCGTATCACGTACAATGTGTTGGAGCGCTAGTCAATAGGAGCTTGAGTGTTCCGTAGTGATGTCACCATGTTCCAGAATTAAAGAAATGAGCCATTTACATGCACTGAAACCTAGAGAACACACACTACGGGAGAGGGAACACCATACAAAGCATTACAATGATTCCGTTTTATTTCACGTCTCAAATGTTTTCAGAAACACACATTTTGCTGTTTCGTAAAATAAGAGTACGTTTTTCCAAAAATAGTAGATTTTGAAAAAACTGTTACGCTGAAGGATTGTGGGTAATGTAGTTCGTCTCCATGTTAACTTTATTTATAAACAATGTATTAATTGTAATTTTTTTGTAGTATCACTGCTCATGTTTTATGGTTCAGTGATACAACTCTTTGTTTGTTTAGACCTTGTTTTTAATTATGTCCCTCTACTTCATCGTAACGTTGTTTTCTCCGTTACTTCATCGTAACGTTGTTTTCTCGGTTACTTCATCGTAACGTTGTTTTCTCGGTTACTTCCTCTTTTACGTTGTTTTCTCTGTTACTTCATCGTAACGATGTTTTCTCTGTTACTTCATCGTAACGTTGTTTTCTCGGTTACTTCATCGTAACGTTGTTTTCTCGGTTACTTCATCGTAACGTTGTTTTCTCTGTTACTTCATCGTAACGTTGTTTTCTCGGTTACTTCATCGTAACGTTGTTTTCTCGGTTACTTCATCGTAACGTTGTTTTCTCGGTTACTTCATCGTAACGTTGTTTTCTCGGTTACTTCATCGTAACGTTGTTTTCTCGGTTACTTCGTCGTAACGTTGTTTTCTCGGTTACTTCATCGTAACGTTGTTTTCTCGGTTACTTCGTCGTAACGTTGTTTTCTCGGTTACTTCCTCTTTTACGTTGTTTTCTCTGTTACTTCATCGTAACGTTGTTTTCTCGGTTACTTCCTCTTTTACGTTGTTTTCTCGGTTACTTCATCGTAACGTTGTTTTCTCTGTTACTTCATCGTAACGTTGTTTTCTCGGTTACTTCATCGTAACGTTGTTTTCTCGGTTACTTCCTCTTATCGTTGTTTTCTCGGTTACTTCATCGTAACGTTGTTTTCTCTGTTACTTCATCGTAACGTTGTTTTCTCGGTTCCTTCATCGTAACGTTGTTTTCTCTGTTACTTCATCGTAACGTTGTTTTCTCGGTTACTTCATCGTAACGTTGTTTTCTCGGTTACTTCCTCGTAACGTTGTTTTCTCGGTTACTTCATCGTAACGTTGTTTTCTCAGTTACTTCATCGTAACGTTGTTTTCTCTGTTACTTTATCATAACGTTGTTTTCTCGGTTACTTCATCGTAACGTTGTTTTCTCGGTTACTTCATCGTAACGTTGTTTTCTCGGTTACTTCATCGTAACGTTGTTTTCTCTGTTACTTCATCGTAACGTTGTTTTCTCTGTTACTTCATCGTAACGTTGTTTTCTCGGTTCCTTCATCGTAACGTTGTTTTCTCTGTTACTTCATCGTAACGTTGTTTTCTCGGTTACTTCATCGTAACGTTGTTTTCTCGGTTACTTCCTCGTAACGTTGTTTTCTCGGTTACTTCATCGTAACGTTGTTTTCTCGGTTACTTCATCGTAACGTTGTTTTCTCTGTTACTTTATCGTAACGTTGTTTTCTCGGTTACTTCATCGTAACGTTGTTTTCTCGGTTACTTCATCGTAACGTTGTTTTCTCTGTTACTTCATCGTAACGTTGTTTTCTCGGTTACTTCGTCGTAACGTTGTTTTCTCGGTTACTTCGTCATAACGTTGTTTTCTCGGTTACTTCGTCGTAACGTTGTTTTCTCTGTTACTTCGTCGTAACGTTGTTTTCTCGGTTACTTCGTCGTAACGTTGTTTTCTCGGTTACTTCCTCTTTTACGTTGTTTTCTCGGTTACTTCATCGTAATGTTGTTTTCTCGGTTACTTCATCGTAACGTTGTTTTCTCGGTTACTTCATCGTAACGTTGTTTTCTCGGTTACTTCATCGTAACGTTGTTTTCTCTGTTACTTCATCTTAACGTTGTTTTCTCTGTTACTTCATCGTAACGTTGTTTTCTCGGTTACTTCATCGTAACGTTGTTTTCTCTGTTACTTCCTCTTATCGTTGTTTTCTCGGTTACTTCCTCTTTTACGTTGTTTTCTCGGTTACTTCATCGTAACGTTGTTTTCTCTGTTACTTCCTCTTTTACGTTGTTTTCTTGGTTACTTCCTCTTTAACGTTGTTTTCTCGGTTACTTCGTCGTAACGTTGTTTTCTCCGTTATTTCATCGTAACGTTGTTTTCTCGGTTACTTCCTCTTTAACGTTGTTTTCTCCGTTATTTCATCGTAACGTTGTTTTCTCGGTTACTTCCTCTTTAACGTTGTTTTCTCCGTTACTTCATCGTAACGTTGTTTTCTCGGTTACTTCCTCGTAACATTGTTTATTCCGTTGCTCAACGTTGTTTTAGTCTTTTTTCTGTCATTCTCTGTAAAGCACTTTGGGCTGCGTCAAGCATGAGAGGTGCTGTATAAATAAAGTGTATTATTTATTATTTATTTAATTCACTTAATTCGCAAGCATAAAAAGAGGTACAAAACAATGTGATTCGTTGACAAAACAATCTCAACTTACAACCGTTTTAGTAGCTCGTGAACACTTAATTAAATCATGTGATTTATTTGTTTCCAGGCTCCTAAAACCCCGCTGCAGAAGAGCATGGACCTGCTGGGGAAGCAGCTGTCGCTCTACTCCTTCGGGATCATTGGTGTGTTTATTTTTGAGCGCTGTTTGAACCTTCAATTAAATATTATATACAAACTGTAGTTCAATCTGCACACGCTTACTTCAACTCCTTATGTTTATACAAATATCTTTATTTTATCTTTTATTGGACATTTTACTTTAACTTCTTAGGTTGATGTAAACATTTTTATTTTATTGGGCATTTAATATAAATATTTTCATTTTATTTGATCTTTTTTTTACACATTCTTTATGTTTTTAACATTATATAATTGTGTTTATTTAATTTAATATTATTTTATTGCAAATTCTTTTTTTTTTTTTTTACTTATGTTCAGAATAAAATATATTTGTATTTATTTAGATCTTTTATTGGTCATTTTTACGTAAACTTCACTTTTTTACATACTTTTTTTGCGAATTAAATATATTTTATTGCACATTTTTTACTTCTTATGTTCGTATAAATACATTTTTATTTTATTTTTAATTAATTAATTTAAAGTAAATTATGTGTGTTTTGTGTGTAAATTTGTTTTAAATATGTCTGTTGTGTGTAAAGTTGTTTTAACAATGTGTGTTGTGTGTAAAGTTGTTTTAACAATGTGTGTTGTGTGTAAAGTTGTTTTAACAATGTGTTTTGTGTGTAAAGTTGTTTTAACAATGTGTGTTGTGTGTAAAGTTGTTTTAACAATGTGTGTTGTGTGTAAAGTTGTTTTATATTGTGTGTGCAGGAGTGATCATGCTGGTGGGCTGGCTGCAGGGGAAGAAGCTCCTCGACATGTTCACCATCGGAGTCAGGTAGCTGGATGGATCTCTACATCAATATATATTCGTAAAGACTCTACATTACACACAAATGTTACTTTAATGTGTTTTGTATCTATATATGTTTCTGATCCTATTTTTACATCTTCATTTTTATTCTTAACTGTAAGAAAAATCAATCTTCTTCTCTGAGTTTTTGGGAGTGTCTGCTCTGATGATGTCACCCCAGTCTGCCCAGCAACAGGGTTACCGTGGTGACCTGTCAATGGGCGAGGCAGCTGGAGTTTTTGTCACTCGAGGGCACTTTTGGGCCGGATTTGTACGTCAATTTGATAAAATGAAGACCTCGAGACACCGCTGACTAACGTTGCTACTGAAATCATCTAAAATTATGTGGAAAGAGTGAATATTATGGGATTTAGAGCAGGTTTAAGATCTTTTTCCAGGAGTTTTTAAAGCCCTCTACTCTCTAAGGCAGGGGTAGCCAACGCGGTGCCCGCGGGCACTAAGTCGCCCGCAGGGGGGAAATTGGTCGCCCGCGTGCATGTTCCATGTCATCATGGAGCTCCGTCTAAAAAAATGATTGAATACATTTTTATTTTAAAATGACAATATTGAATATAACATTAAATTTAAAAGCACACATTTGTATATGTAAGTGAAATGGAGATTTGGTGCGTGAAATTGAACTCTGACCCCAGATAGGTTCAGAGTTGAACTCCACGCACCAAATCTCCGTTCCACCTTTAGCTGAGACAAGCTAGCGTGAGCAGCTACGATGGTGCGCTAGCTGCGGCTTTTACCCTAAACATGGCCGAGAAGCGAAAGAAAAAGTACTGTTTTCAAGACGTTTGGGAGGAAGAATTCTTTTTTACTACAGTGAAAGAAAAGTGTGTATGTCTCATTTGCGGTGCGACTGTGGCGATCGCAAAGCGGCACAATGTGGAGAGACACTTTGATACGTGTCACAAAAGCTACAATGCTAACTACCCACCTGGCAGCGCACTACGGGCAGAAAAAGCACGTGAGTTAAAGGCAGCTTTGGGGAAGCAGCAGTCTTTTTTCACGAGGCCGGTGAAAAAGACACAAAAAGCAACGGAAGCCTCATTTAGAGCTGCTCATTTTTTGGTAAAGAACAAGAAAGCCTTTTCGGACGGAGAGGTCTTGAAAGGTGCAATGATGGTTATTGCAAACACTGTGTTCAGTGACGAGAAGAATGGTTCCGATGTCATCTCCACTCTCCGATGTCCAGCTGGGGGCAAGTACGAGGCTACGTGCCGGTGGGTTAGCGTCCAGTGCGACGAGTCCGTGGACAGAAGCAGTTCAGCACAGCTGATGATGTTTATCCGAATGGTGTTTGATGATTTCTCCACATTACATTACATTACATTACATTGCATTTAGCTGACGCTTTTGTCCAAAGCGACTTACAATAAGTACATTCGACCAGGAAGACACAACCTTGAAGAAAACAGAATCATATAAGTATATCAGGTTTCATAGAGCCAAACATTTCAAGTGCTACTCAACTGGCTTTAGGTAATCCAGTCCTTTATTGGTATAAAAGTGCTTCGTTAATCGTTCTAACGCTCGAAGTGGAGTCGAAAGAGATGAGTTTTCAGTTTGCGCCGGAAGATGTGCAAGCTATCTGCCGTCCTGATGTCAATGGGGAGCTCATTCCACCATCTTGGAGCCAGGATAGCAAACCCACGTGTTTTCGCCGATGGGAACTTGGGTCCCCCTCGCAGCGAGGGGCGCAACGAGTCGTTTGGCTGATGCAGAGCGTAGTGCACGCGCTGGGGTGTACGGTTTAACCATGTCCTGGATGTAGGAAGGGCCAGATCCATTCGCAGCACGGTAAGCAAGTACCAGTGTCTTGAAGTGGATTCTAGCAGTTACCGGAAGCCAGTGAAGGGAGCGGAGGAGCGGAGTGGTGTGGGAGAATTTAGGAAGGTTGAAAACCAGACGAGCCGCTGCATTCTGGATGAGCTGCAGAGGTCGGATGGCACATGCAGGTAGACCAGCCAGGAGGGAGTTGCAGTAGTCTAGGCGTGAGATGACGAGAGCCTGGAGAAGAAGAACACAAAAGAAAGAACTCTTGACACTACTGCCCCTGAAGACAACAACGAGGGGAGTTGACGTTTACACCGCGGTCAAGAGCTTCTTCGTGGAGAAGAAGGTACCATTAGAAAAGCTGGTGTCGGTGACTACAGACGGGGCTCCCGCAATGACGGGCCGACATGCAGGCTTCATTGCGCAATGCAAAGGTGACTCAGACTTCCCAACATTTCTACATTACCACTGCATCATTCACCAGCAGGCATTATGTGCAAAAGTGACCGGCTTTAATCATGTGATGACCCCTGTCGTGAAAATCATAAACAGCATCCGCTCCAAAGCCAAACAACACCGGACGTTCAAAGTGCTGTCAGCTGAATATGGTGACCTGTTGTTGCACACAGACATCCGATGGCTCAGCAGGGGAAGAGTATTGCAGCGATTTTTGTCACTTTTGGGTGAAATCAAAGTATTCTTGCAATCCAAAGGGGAAGACGCCTCACTGCTTGAGGACACGGAGTGGATACTTGACCTTGCATTTTTAACAGACATCACTGGGAAACTGAACCTTTTGAACTGAACTGCAAGGCAAAGGCAAGACTGTTACATGATAAGTGCTGTAAATGCATTTAAAGCTATGATGAGCATATTCTCTGTGCATTTACAGGGAAAGAAAGTGTTGCACTTTCCCTCTGTGCAGTCAGTGCTGCATGACAATGCTTCTGCATCTGGGGCTTTCGACAAAGCTGCAGAAAAGTACTCTCAAGTCATAAACAGACTTGGTCAAGAGTTTGAAAACAGGTTTTGTGACTTTGGTCAACTTGAGCCATGCGTGTCATTCATTTCAAATCCATTCATGCAAGTGGACCTGACATGCATTGCTAAGCAACTAAGTGCAACCTTCAACGTGGATGCTGGACAGGTGGAGATTGAAATCCTAACGTTGTACAGAAAAGTACAAAGGTGTATGCACAGCAGCTATGAAAGATGCCTGCCTTTTTGGTTCAACCTATCTTTGTGAGTCAGCCTTTTCAGACATGAACTTCATCAAGAACAAACACAGAACACGCCTTACTGATGCAAATCTACAAGATTTACTCAGAGTTGCAGTGTCAAATTATACCCCAGATTACAGTACACTAGTGGACAGCATGCAATGCCAGACTTCCCACTAATAGAAGGCAAAGAAAGAGACAACAGATGTTTTCAGTGAAACACCATGCCAACGGTAAACTCACATGTGGAACATCATTTGATCAAAAAGTGTACAAACATTGCTATTTTGTTAACAATTCTACAGATTTAGTGATTAATAAAAATATGATCTGATTGAGTTGATGTTCTTTTTTAAACTTTACATAATAATATTATATGATTATAATAAATAAATAATATTTTATGTTTAAATATATCTGTTTCCTACCATGGTAAATTATTGTGAAGAATAATTAACATTAACATGTGATCAGACAGTCCTTCACATACAGTAAATTAATATGGATTCTGATTATTATTAATAATAATATTATCATTAAAGGTGAACCGTGCAATTATGTTATTCAGGAAGTTTGTATCAAACAAGTAGCCCTTCGTGTTACTCAGTACCCTTGAAGTAGCCCTTCGTGTTACTCGGTACCCTTGAAGTAGCCCTTCGTGTTACTCGGTACCCTTGAAGTAGCCCTTCGTGTTACTCAGTACCCTTGAAGTAGCCCTTCGTGTTACTCAGTACCCTTGAAGTTGCCCTTCGTGTTACTCAGTACCCTTGAAGTAGCCCTTCGTGTTACTCAGTACCCTTGAAGTTGCCCTTCGTGTTACTCGGTACCCTTGAAGTAGCCCTTCGTGTTACTCGGTACCCTTGAAGTAGCCCTTCGTGTTACTCGGTACCCTTGAAATAGCCCTTCGTGTTACTCGGTACCCTTGAAGTAGCCCTTCGTGTTACTCGGTACCCTTGAAGTAGCCCTTCGTGTTACTCGGTACCCTTGAAGTAGCCCTTCGTGTTACTCGGTACCCTTGAAGTAGCCCTTCGTGTTACTCGGTACCCTTGAAGTAGCCCTTCGTGTTACTCGGTACCCTTGAAGTAGCCCTTCGTGTTACTCTGTACCCTTGAAGTAGCCCTTCGTGTTACTCGGTACCCTTGAAAGTAGCCCTTCGTGTTACTCGGTACCCTTGAAGTAGCCCTTCGTGTTACTCGGTACCCTTGAAGTAGCCCTTCGTGTTACTCGCGTACCCTTGAAGTAGCCCTTCGTGTTTACTCGGTACCCTTGAAGTAGCCCTTCGTGTTACTCGGTACCCTTGAAGTAGCCCTTCGTGTTACTCGGTACCCTTGAAGTAGCCCTTCGTGTTACTCGGTACCCCTTGAAGTAGCCCTTCGTGTTACTCGGTACCCTTGAAGTAGCCCTTCGTGTTACTCGGTACCCTGTGAAAGTAGCCCTTCGTGTTACTCAGTACCCTTGAAGTAGCCCTACGTGTTACTCAGTACCCTTGAAGTAGCCCTTCGTGTTACTCAGTACCCTTGAAGTAGCCCTTCGTGTTACTCAGTACCCTTGAAGTTCGTGTTACTCGGTACCCTTGAAGTAGCCCTTCGTGTTACTCGGTACCCTTGAAGTAGCCCTTCGTGTTACTCGGTACCCTTGAAGTAGCCCTTCGTGTTACTCGGTACCCTTGAAGTAGCCCTTCGTGTTACTCGGTACCCTTGAAGTAGCCCTTCGTGTTACTCGGTACCCTTGAAGTAGCCCTTCGTGTTACTCGGTACCCTTGAAGTAGCCCTTCGTGTTACTCGGTACCCTTGAAGTTGCCCTTCGTGTTACTCAGTACCCTTGAAGTAGCCCTTCGTGTTACTCAGTACCCTTGAAGTAGCCCTTCGTGTTACTCAGTACCCTTGAAGTAGCCCTTCGTGTTACTCAGTACCCTTGAAGTAGCCCTTCGTGTTACTCAGACCCTTGAAGTAGCCCTTTGTGTTACTCAGTACCCTTGAAGTAGCCCTTCGTGTTACTCAGTACCCTTGAAGTAGCCCTTCGTGTTACTCAGTACCCTTGAAGTAGCCCTTCGTGTTACTCAGTACCCTTGAAGTAGCCCTTCGTGTTACTCAGTACCCTTGAAGTAGCCCTTCGTGTTACTCAGTACCCTTGAAGTAGCCCTTCGTGTTACTCAGTACCCTTGAAGTAACCCTCGGTGACAAAAAGGTTGGTGGCCCCTGCTCTAAGGGATGATGTCATCACTCTGAACATTCCGTCCCATACACAGCCATTACAGAATCTGAAACACTCTTAAACTGGGATTTTAGGAAAACCGTTCAATCTGTCAAAAAAACATTTCAGTCCAACAAAGTTGAGAGTCTGGAGAGATGTTTAAACTTTAAATCGTATTTCTCCGTTAAAGTATGACGAAGCAGTATGACCTCAAAGTTGGATGATTTTGAGCTCTGTTTACGTCGATTTCCCATTCGTTCCTACGGGGAAACGTTAGCAGATTTTTTTTTTGTGATTTGAAAACACCGAGGGGAACCTCTTAGTCCAAAGCACACATTACATATTGATTGTTCTCCTCTCCTTCAGTCTGGCGGTGGCGGCGATCCCTGAAGGTTTACCGATCGTGGTGACGGTGACGCTGGCGCTCGGTGTGATGCGCATGGTGAAGAAGAGAGCCATCATCAAAAAACTCCCCATCGTGGAGACTCTGGGTACGTTGATCAAGATGTGTGAGCGCCTTTCACTTCCTGTTGGCTGTAACGTTGTTTCCTCCGCTACGTTATGTCTCGGCTACTTCATCTTTAACGTTGTTTCTCCGCTACTTCCTCTTAACGTTGTTTTCTCTGTTAATTCCTCTTAAAGTTGTTTATTCCGTTACTTCATCTTTAACGTTGTTTCTTCCGTTACTTCCTCATGAGGTTATTTTCTCTGTTACTTCCTCTTAACGTTGTTTTCTCCGTTAGTTCCTCTTAACGTTGTTTTCTCGGCTACTTCATCTTTAACATTGTTTCTTCCGTTACTTCCTTGTGACGTTATTTTCTCTGTTACTTCCTCTTAACGTTGTTTTCTCCGTTAGTTCCTCTTAACGTTGTTTTCTCGGCTACTTCATCTTTAACGTTGTTTCTTCCGTTACTTCCTCGTAACGTTGTTTTCTCCGTTACTTCCTGGTAATGTTGTTTTCTTCGTTACTTCCTGGTAACGTTATTTTCTCCGCTACTTCCTCGTAACGTTGTTTATTCTGTTACTTCCTCGTAACGTTGTTTTCTCCGTTAGTTCCTCATAACGTTGATTTCTCGTTACTTCCTCGTAACGTTGTTTATTTTGTTACTTCCTGGTAACGTTATTTTCTCCGCTACTTCCTCGTAACGTTGTTTTCTCGGTTACTTCTTCTTAAACGTTGTTTCTTGGGTTACTTCCTCTTTTACGTTGTTTTCTCGGTTACTTCCTCTTTACGTTGTTTTCTCCGCTACTTCCTCGTAACGTTGTTTTGTCGGCTACTTCATCTTTAACGTTGTTTCTTCCATCACTTCCTCGTAACGTTGTTTTCTCCATTACTTCCTGGTAACGTTGTTTTCTTCGTTACTTCCTGGTAACGTTGTTTTCTCAGTTACTTCTTCTTAAACGTTGTTTCTTGGGTTACTTCCTCTTTTACGTTGTTTTCTCGGTTACTTCCTCTTAACGTTGTTTATTCCGTTACTTCCTGGTAACGTTGTTTTCTCCGCTACTTCCTCGTAATGCTATTTTCTCCGTTAGTTCCTCGTAACGTTGTTTTCTCGGTTACTTCCTCGTAACGTTGTTTCCTCCGTTACTTCCTGGTAATATTGTTTTCTCCGCTACTTCCTCGTAACGTTGTTTCTTGGGTTACTTCCTCTTTTACGTTGTTTTCTCGGTTACTTCCTCTTAACGTTGTTTATTCCGTTACTTCCTGGTAACGTTGTTTTCTCCGTTACTTCCTGGTAACGTTGTTTTCTCCGTTACTTCCTGGTAACGTTGTTTTTCCCTTCAGGCTGCTGTAACGTGATCTGCTCGGATAAAACGGGAACTCTGACGAAGAACGAGATGACGGTCACTCAGCTTTTCACGTCAGACGGACTCCACGCCGAGGTCTGAACTCCCTTTATCTCGGAAGAGTTCATTTCCTTAAGAGTCTCCGGCAACATGGAGGCTTAGTGTGTTTCTCATCATTTAAAGAGTCTCCAACTCAGGTTTTACAGAATATCAGATACATTCTGGTTTTACGTTATTTTCTTTATTTGTTAATACTTTTTGCTAAGAGATTCACATTGTACATCTTAATGAATTAGCTTGATTTATAAATAACAACAAATAATGATTTTAAGAGTCTCACATTTTAATATTAGAGAAATTCTGATTTATTTATCTTTTATATACGTTACCGTTTACGTATTTTCACGTAAAGGAATATCTTTAATCTCTTACATTTGTCTGGTTTTTGTTAACAGTTTTTTAAAGGGGGATTAGAAGCCGATGTTTGCCTTTTTTTACATAGAACCTTTTTCAACACTTTCTTTAGTGGGTCCTTGTTGTCTGAGAGTTGTTAAGATAAGATAAGAAGTACTTTATTGAATTAAAATACCAAATAATATCCGCATTTCACAATCTGATCGATACGAAAGTGCTGCATTCAGAATAATACCATGCAGAATAATAGTGGAATATTAGTGGTGCACCGACTCTTACCCAATTTATTTAAAACCTTTACTTTACAGATTTGGATCATTTCTCTTTTGTTGTGTTCATGAATGTGTTTAATTACTGAGACGTGTCACAGACTGTAGTAAAACCAAACCTAGACTCATATTCTGGCTTTTTTTTACATAGAACCTTTTTAAACACTTTCCTTAGTGGGTCCTTGTTGTCTGAGAGTTGATAAGATAAGAAGTGCTTTATTGAATTAAAGGTCCCATGTCATTTCCACTGATCATAATTCCATTGTTGAGGTCTACTAGAATAGATTTATATTGTTCAATGTTCCAAACTCACATTGGTTTCTCAGCATCTCTGTAAACTACGTGTATTCACTGAATTTCACTCTCTGCCTTTAACGGCTCGTTGTAGCTCCAATAGCTCCAGCCCCCCCCCCCCTCCCTGTGAGCACAGTGTGCTCTGATTGGTCGGGACGTTGTGAATCGCGCTGAACTCCGTGGAGGTGTTGTTTCCTTGTTTAGCGATACACAGCGAAACACAGCCAAACTCATCCTGAGCACACACAAAGTCACAGCCGAAGCAATAAGTGTGGCTTGACTTTCAACCTTTTTAAACACTTTCCTCAGTGGGTCCTTGTTGTCTGAGAGTTGTTAAGATAAGAAGTGCTTTATTGAATTAAAAGTCTAGAAATAAACATTCTGAAATATAAACATCTCAATAGAAATAAAACAGCATTACATAAAAAGTAGAAAATATACATGTTGAACTACGAATGTAACAAAATCTAAAGCAGTTAACCCCTGGGTGTGGTCTTGCAGGTGACCGGTGTGGGTTATAACGGAGCGGGAGACGTGTTGGTGGACGGAGAAATCATCCACGGCTTCTCCTGCCCCTCCGTCAGCAAGATCGTGGAGGTGAGTCCGGAGGAAACCAAATCAATATAATTCTACAAACATGAGAGATTACGGTAAACATCTGCACGATGAACTGCTCTCAATAACAACATTAAATATGTTAAAATGTGTGTGTGTTTTAGGTTGGATGTGTGTGTAACGACTCGGTCATCAGGAATCAGAATCTGCTGGGACGACCGACGGAGGGTGCGCTCATCGCCCTCGCCATGAAGGTACACACACACACACACACTTTTTATTTTCACTAGCATTTTCTCATTTCTTTTTCTATTCTCAAGCTTTTACATTTATTTTCTCAAGTTCTTTTATTTCAATTGAATTCAACAATCTTTTTAAATGTTATCGTTGTTTTCTGATGCTGCAATTTAAAATGTTATAGTTGTTACTTCTTGATTCGATTGTATCTTCATTAACGTGTGTGTGTGTGTGTGTGTGTGTGTGTGTGTGTGTGTGTGTGTGTGTGTGTGTGTGTGTGTGTGTGTGTGTGTGTGTGTGTGTGTGTGTGTGTGTGTGTGTGTGTGTGTGTGTGTGTGTGTGTGTGTGTGTGTGTGTGGTGTGTGTGTGTGTGTGTGTGTGTGTGTGTGGTGTGTGTGTGTGTGTGTGTGTGTGTGTGTGTGTGTGTGTGTGTGTGTGTGTGTGTGTGTGTGTGTGTGTGTGTGTGTGTGTGTGTGTGTGTGTGTGTGTGTGTGTGTCTCTCTCTCTCAGATGGGTCTGGAGGGTCTGCAGCAGGACTTTGTGCGTCTGGAGGAGCTTCCCTTCTCCTCGGAGCAGAAGTGGATGTCTGTGCGCTGCGTTCACCGCACGCTGCAGGTCAGCCTCCTCCACACAGAACACACTGTACTCCCACTAATACCTGTTTGTCAGAGGTATAAAGTAACTAAGTGCTGTACTTAAGTAAAACTTTGAGGTACTTGTACTTGAGTATTTCCATTTGCTACTGTGTACTTCTACTCCACTACAGTTCAGAGGTACATGGTGTACTTTTCCTCCACTACATGTATAAATACCTTTAGTTACTTCACAGATGTGGATGAATGATGTGAAATCTAATCAAGTGTTAAATCAGACTTTAGTTCCACCTGGAGTAAATCCACCAGCTACCCTGCAGTATACAAAGTATTATTGTGTCTCTCCTCATTTCTCTTTTGTTGTGGTCATGCATCTTTTTTATTTAGTGAGACATTTCACAGACTGTAGTAAAACCAAACTTAGACTTATATTCTGGAAGTTCTGTGCAAAATAATGCAAATAATATCCGCATTTCACACAATCTTATCGATCAGAAAGTGCTGCTTTCAGAATAATAGTGGAATATTAGTCTTTGTTCGAAAAATCTCACTGGAGCTTCAACATCAGGATCCATGTATTTATGATCCTCTCAAGAATGGAAGTAGTCAAAACAAAAAAAGAGAATTAGTTGGTATTTTTATCAAAATCTAAAAAATCTGACTTTTTTTCCAAAAATATAAAAATCCAGATTTTTTTCCAAATTCCCAACTTTTTCTCAAAATCCTGACTTTTTCTGAATACTTAAAAATGTTAATAATCCCTGTCCCCGGCTTGAGCTTGAACCTCAGGATCCATGTATCTGTGATCCTCTCCAGAATGGAAGGAGTCATCACATACAGAGCATCAACTAGTTCCTGAACAGTGTCCTTCACATGCTGATATCCAAGAGAGGGAGTTACACAGTCACAAGATGGAGGAACAGAAAGCAGTATTCAATGTTTACTTCAGATTAGCTCCACGTCAGAAATGAGCATGCTTGATGTCTCTCTCCATAGAGGCTGAATCATCATGTTAATCACATAGCTATCATATGCCTCAAACAGTCCTGATGCTCTTCTAGCTAATCACACATCCTGTCATGTTCACAGCTACAGTTGATACCTTTGTTATCATGTTACTCTCATGTTGGAAGAGGACATTCAGTGTTTTCACAACAGTCCTGCCCCGACTCTTACCTCATGATATCTTCTGCTTGTGTATGCCCCCCCCCCCTCCCTCCAGGATAAGCCTGCCGTGTACTTCCTGAAGGGGGCGTACGAGCAGGTGATCCGTCTCTGCAGCTGCTACAACAGCAGGGGGTCCAGCCTGCCCCTGACCCCCCAGCAGAGGGAGCTGTACCAGCAGCAGATCAGCTACATGGGCTCTGCAGGCCTCAGGGGTAAATACAATACCATGGAAATGTACTGCCATATTTAAAAACGTAATTTATTTGAGTGTACTTCCCACTGCTGTAAGGGGCTGGAAACGGTTTGAATTTAACGGGCGAATGTGTCGGAAACCTGTTGATTAAAAGCTATTTTTACAGATGTAGAAATACACTCGATGTGATGTAAAAATATTGAACGTTTTATTGCTTATTTCTGCCTTGAAAACACACGTTCTCCATATCTCTCTCCTGCAGTGCTGGGGTTTGCGTCCGGCTCGGAGCTGGGCAGCCTGACCTTCCTGGGTCTGGTGGGAATCATCGACCCCCCGAGGTCAGGGGTCAAAGAGGCCATCGGGAAGCTCATCAACTCTGGGGTCGCCATCAAGATGATCACCGGGGACTCGCAGGAGACCGCCGTGTCCATCGGTCAGAGAAACAAACGCACAATCATCTTTTCTGGTCGATTTTTAAAGTGTTACGGGACTCAACACTGCCATTTAAGACCCTAGACATGTCAGAAATCGACTAGTTGTTTAGCTATTATCTGCATATGCTAATTAATGCAACATATGCTATTTATATCGTGTAAATCTCCCAACATATGCAGGTTAGTTTCTATGTGCTGGAGACCCTACTGTACATTTCCATGATAACACTTAGGGGTCCTCAACATTTCTAATAAATGTAAATAATAAAATAAAATACAACTGGAATAACCGGAGTGTTCCCTTCTCTCTGCAGCCAGTCGTCTGGGTCTGTACTCTAAAGGCAGCCGCTGTCTCTCCGGAGACGAGGTGGATCACCTGGACCTGCAGCAGCTCTCCAGCATCGTCTCCAGGGTGAGAACAACTCTTTACTTTAAGACGGGTTTTCTTTCCTAGAAGAAAATCTGAAAAAGAGGGTCGTCTTTTATCCGGGGTCTAGACTTTTCGATGTAATTACACAGTCACAACAACAGATGGCGCCAAACGAGTGTTCAGAGACACCGTCTTAAAGTAACAGGACAACAGGAGAGAGAGAGAGACAGAGACGAACTCCAACACAGTGGATCTAAATAGAGTGGTGCAGGGACGAGTCCTAAAACCCAGAAGTGAGTCAGCATTTCACCACTTCCTGTTCCCTCGTCTCAGAGCCAATGGGATCTCTCCATCGGAGTGTGGAAGATAACTGGAACTAAGGTCTGTGGTTGAGACACATTGAAGAGACGGATCACGTTTTGTTCTACGACATTAAATCATCAGCAGAGACCCCACTGGAGATTTCTGAAGAGTTGACATGTCTGAAAAACGATGGTTGTTACCAAGTGGCTGAATAGGACTACAGAAGTCGTGGAGGCCGTTGTACGTCATTACGCCGAACACGTGAACACTCCTCTAAGTTTGTTTACCTGCCTCCTGCAGACTGTTCAAACAAACGCTTCAACTCGTTCCATTTAGAGTCTGTATGTTTGAATATGGATCTGAAGTCGGTGTGACGTTGAAGTCGTGCTGCTGGACTCGGCTGTAGTTCCTTCTTAGCATAGCGTTAGCATTTAGCTTCTGGACATTAGAGTTATGATTCCAACATTATGAAAGTAGGGTAGACATGTGGAGATTATCCGGATGAACAAAACGTGCATCTATCAAACAGGTTCGTTTTCCACAGATCTTATTTTGAGCTATTTTCCTAAATCCTCTGGAGAAATCCCGTTGCTTTTTTGTCGAGGGAACCAGCAGCTTCCTTCAGGGTAAATACGTCATCCCTGCACCGCTCTATAGATCTCTATTGGGCAAGTTATTAAACAAGAGAGGCAAAGTTACGAGAGAGAGAGAGAGCATCATAAAGGGGTTCAGGAAATGCTGCGTATGAAATGCAACGGATGGCAGCGAGGAAGACTTCACATTTGAACACAATGTGTGAAATTGTTTTCTTTATAAAAACAAGAGTTGGTCTTCAAAAAGGCATTTTTCCATAAATGAGTCTTGAGACAGAGGGTCGTCTTATATTCGGGTCGATACGGTAATTCACACTTGATCCTCCTGCCTCTCTCGAACCGGTTGTTATCAAATATCAAAGATATTCTCAGTTTTTCCTGCTGCTTCTTGTTTTGTGTTTTTCTGAATGAAAGGCGTCTCCTGTCTTCACAGATAGCCGTGTTTTATCGAGCCAGTCCCCGACACAAGCTGAAGATCGTCAAGGTGAGCAGGAGGAACACAAAGACTAACTCATATCCACTCATGTCTGCCCTATGACGAGACCAATGTCCGGGTATCCAGTTAGAAATAGAGATAGTTAGCTTTCTTCATATCAACCAGCCAACATCTACTTTACATAGAGTAAATAAAAACACTCCCTTGAATGCTAAATCACATATAAAATGAAAAATAGTTGATGCTATTTTCTACATACACCCATATTACACATTAATACACTTTATTACGTCCATGCAAGACCGTTATTACACCCTATTACACCTGTATTAAGCCTCTATTAAGCCTGTATTACACCATTATTACACCGTCATAGCACCATTATTACACCCATTTTACAAGATAATTACGCCAACATTATTACACTCTTATTACACCCATATTTAACCCGTGTTACACTGTAATACACCCCTATTAGATCTGTATTAAAGCCTTATTACACCTGTCATTTCACCGTTATCATACCCATTTTACAAGATAATTACAATTACACCAACATTACGCATTAATACACACTTATTACATCCATGTCAGACCAATATTACACTGTCATACACCTTAATTACCTCCTTATTAAACCCATGTTACACCGTCATTACACCGTCATTACACTGTCATTAATTACACCGTCATTAATTACACCGTCATTACACTGTTATTAATTACATTGTCATTACACGGTCATTAATTACACCGTCATTACACTGTCATTAATTACACCGTCATTAATTACACCGTCATTAATTACACCGTCATTACACCGTCATTACACCGTCATTAATTACACCGTCATTACACCGTCATTACACCGTCATTAATTACACCGTCATTACACGGTCATTAATTACACCGTCATTACACTGTCATTAATTACACCGTCATTAATTACACCGTCATTAATTACACCGTCATTACACCGTCATTACACCGTCATTAATTACACCGTCATTACACCGTCATTAATTACACCGTCATTACTTACACCGTCATTACACTGTCATTAATTACACCGTCATTTATTACACCGTCATTACACTGTCATTAATTACACCGTCATTAATTACACCGTCATTACACCGTCATTAATTACACCGTCATTTATTACACCGTCATTACACTGTCATTAATTACACCGTCATTACACTGTTATTAATTACACCGTCATTACACCGTCATTACACCGTCATTACACCGTCATTAATTACACCGTCATTACACCGTCATTAATTACACCGTCATTTATTACACTGTTATTAATTACACTGTCATTACACCGTCATTACACCGTCATTAATTACACCGTCATTACACCGTCATTACACCATCATTAATTACACCGTCATTACACCGTCATTAATTACACCGTCATTTATTACACTGTTATTAATTACACCGTCATTACACTGTCATTACACCGTCATTACACCGTCATTAATTACACCGTCATTACACCGTCATTACACCATCATTACACCGTCATTAATTACACCGTCATTAATTACACCGTCATTACACCGTCATTAATTACACCGTCATTAATTACACCGTCATTACACTGTCATTACACCGTCATTAATTACACCGTCATTACACCGTCATTACACCGTCATTAATTACACCGTCATTACACTGTCATTACACCGTCATTAATTACACCGTCATTACACTGTCATTACACCGTCATTAATTACACCGTCATTACACCGTCATTACACCGTCATTAATTACACCGTCATTACACTGTCATTACACCGTCATTAATTACACCGTCATTACACCGTCATTACACCGTCATTAATTACACCGTCATTAATTACACCGTCATTAATTACACCGTCATTACACCGTCATTAATTACACCGTCATTACACCGTCATTAATTACACCGTCATTACACCGTCATTAATTACACCGTCATTACACCGTCATTAATTACACCGTCATTACACCGTCATTCATTACACCGTCATTACACCGTCATTACACCCATTAGACACATGGCCACAGCCTGTCAGATGACCCAGCATACAGAAACCCTTTAAGGCTCAACAATACGTCCCGCTGTGTGTGTTTGCGTCCTTCTCCCTGTAGTCTCTGCAGAACATCGGCGCCGTGGTGGCCATGACGGGAGACGGGGTGAACGACGCCGTGGCGCTGAAGGCGGCCGACATCGGCGTGGCGATGGGTCGGACCGGCACCGACGTCTGCAAGGAGGCGGCCGACATGATCCTGGTGGACGACGACTTCCAGACCATCATGTGAGGAGCCGGGGGATAACACTATTATTTAATCGTGCAGGAACAATGGCCAACCAGAGGGGGGAAGTAGTGGATTACAAATACTGCGTTACTCCGCTACTTATTTTCCTGACGACTTTTTGCTTTGGCTTCTACTTTCCAAGCAGGCTGGTTCCTTTAGTCTGAATGTGTGTTTGGTGCGTGATCATTATTCTTTAGAGTCATTGCGTGCCTATTGATTTGAACACGATCCGTGTATCCATCACTTCCTGGTCTTCTCTAAAGAAGAGGGACCAATGGAAATGTTGTCATGTTGCCGTTGTTCAGCATGGAAACATTCATTAGCTAACAATGACATTATTGTTCTATTAATATAAAGGGAGGTCAGGTACTCTTTAAAGCAGCTGCTAGTTATGGGTACTTTTTACTGAAGTACATTTCAAAGCCTCTTTACTTTTACTTGAGTAAAGAAGTTTAGTCAGTACTTCTACTTTTACCAGAGTATTTTTAAACACGAGTATCTGTACTTCTACTTGAGTAAAGGATGTGTGTACTCTTGCCCTCTCTGCCTTTGACCTCTAACCCATCACAGCTTCCTCTCCTGCTGCTATTTATTACATTTGTACTTTATTATTTACCCCTCTTCTTTGTTTGTTTGTTCACCATGTAAAGCGGCCTTGGGTCCCTTGAAAGGCGCTATACAAATGTAATCTATTGTTATTAAAGACTCGCGTTCTGTTCTTCCCTTCCAGGTCGGCCATCGAGGAAGGAAAGGGAATTTATAACAACATCAAAAACTTTGTGCGCTTCCAGCTGAGCACGTGAGTGACACAACAGTGAAACACAGACGATCCAAATGACAACTTAAATTAAAGTAAGGTCCTGAGCCAGCCCTAACGTTAAGCTTTAGAGACGTTGTCTTTTAACCCCTAAGCACCCACGGAGACACGTACGGGACATTTAAATGTTCTGGAGAGTTCATTATTCAGCTTTAGTCCCTCAGTGACACACCCTGAACAGTCCGGGGGGTCCTGGGCCGGGTCATGTGACTTTGTGTTCCCATGACAACATGTCCAAGATGTCCATGTGCCAGGTCATGCATACTTGCCAACCCTCCCGATTTTCGCGGGAGACTCCCGATTTCATAGCCCTCTCCCGGTTTCCTCCCGGGGTCATATTTCTCCCGATTTCTGACAAAATCAGATTTACACACGACTGTTTCCACTCTGACTTTATTACAGCTACACCATTGTTTGGTTTCCATGGTAGCGCGTCTCTTTAGTAGCGTGCGCAAATGAAATGCTCCCGATTTCTGAGGTCTCAAGGTTGGCAAGTATGAGACATAGCTAGATGATCAAATTGATATGAAACAAATGAGATAAATATCGCTGGGACATTAATGTCACATCGGGACTTTAACCTTAAAACTTATGTCACGATTAAATACTATATATATTATATACTTATTTAGAACTTGAATTGACTGAAAGTGGGCTTATTACGGTCCTGAGGATGAAGGCTGGCATGATTCTGCTGCAGAGCGTTCACCACCACCTGTGTTTAGTTTCCGTGCCCTCAGCGTTCACCACAGCAGGCATTGCTCACTTCCTTCTGACGCTTTCAACCGTCTGCACCAGGCAGGGTGTTTACTGCAAACTCAAAGAGTGGGGGAGGATGTTAACATGTAGTAAAAGTACTGTGAAAGTACTCAAAGTCCTGGATTCAAAACTAAAATGAAAGTATTTTATTATTATTATCAGCAAAATGCACTTAGAGTAGAAGTTTTGTTTACAGTTAGAAATATGATGATGATCTGCGCAGTTAATTTAGCTGATTCAATTATATTTAGTTCATATATTCTTCAATTCAAAGAATGTTGAAACAAATCAAAACCAAAAAATCATCTTCATTCATTAAATTATTGATAAGAATGACTTTACCAAACGAATGTCACTTTTCAGATCTCTGACACTAGGGGGCGCTACTTTTCAGAATTGTGTTCGATGTGGTCTTTTTTAGTCTAAATGATGTTCCCCTCAATTTAAACCCAACGAAAGAAATTAGTTTTTGTGTTAAAGCTCACCTATTATGCAAAATCCACTTCTCCATGTCTCTCTACATCAACATGTGTCCCCTCTTCTTCATGTCTCTTCTACATCAACACGTGTCCCCTCTTCTTCATGTCTCTTCTACATCAACATGTGTCCCCTCTTCTTCATGTCTCTCTACATCAACATGTGTCCCCTCTTCTCCATGTCTCTTCCTACATCAACATGTGTCCCTCTTCTTCATGTCTCTTCTACATCAACATGTGTCCCTCTTCTTCATGTCTCTTCTACATCAACATGTGTCCCCTCTTCTCATGTCTCTTCTACATCAACATGTGTCCCCTCTTCTCCATGTCTCTTCTACATCAACATGTGTCCCCTCTTCTTCATGTCTCTTCTACATCACAACATGTGTCCCCTCTTCTTCATGTCTCTTCTCTACATCAACACGTGTCCCCTCTTCTTCATGTCTCTTCTACATCAACATGTGTCCCCTCTTCTCCATGTCCTCTTCTACATCAACATGTGTCCCCTCTTCTCCATGTCTCTTCTACATCAACAATGTTCCGCCCATCTTCTTCATGTCTCTTCTACATCAACATGTGTCCCCTCTTCTTCATGTCTCTTCTACATCAACATGTGGTCCCCTCTTCTTCATGTCTCTTCTACATCAACATGTGTCCCCTCTTCTTCATGTCTCTTCTACATCAACATGGTCCCCTCTTCTTCATGTCTCTTCTACATCAACATGTGTCCCCTCTTCTTCATGTCTCTTCTACATCAACATGTGGCCCCTCTTCTTCATGTCTCTTCTTACAATCAACATGTGTCCCCTCTTCGTCATGTCTCTTCCACATCAACATGTGTCCCCTCCTTCTTCATGTCCTTCTACATCACATGTGTCCCCTCTTCTTCATGTCTCTTCTACATCAACATGTGTCCCCTCTTCTTCATGTCTCTTCTACATCAACATGTGTCCCTCTTCTTCAATGTCCTCTTCTACAGCAACATGTTCCCCTCTTCTCATTCTACTTACATCAACATGTGTCCCCTCTTCTTCATGTCTCTTCTATCATCAACATGTGTCCCCTCTTCTTCATGCTCCGTTCTTACATCACATGTGTCCCCTCTTCCTTCATGTCTCTTCTCATCAAACATGTGTCCCCTCTTCTTCATGTCTCTTCTACATCAACATGTGTCCCCCTCTTCTTCATGTCTCTTCTACATCAACATGTGTCCCCTCTTCTTCATGTCTCTTCTACATCAACATGTGTCCCCTCTTCTTCATGTCTCTTCTACATCAACATGTGTCCCCCTTCTCATGTCTTTCTACATCAACATGTGTCCCCTCTCTTCTTCATGTCTCTTCTACATCAACATGTGTCCCCTCTTCTTCATGTCTCTTCTACATCAACATGTGTCCCCTCTTCTTCATGTCTCTTCTACATCAACATGTGTCCCCTCTTCTTCATGTCTCTTTCTACATCAACATGTGTCCCCTCTTCTTCATGTCTCTTCTACATCAACATGTGTCCCCTCTTCTTCATGTCTCTTCTACATCAACATGTGTCCCCTCTCTCATGTCTCTCTGTCTTCTACATCAACATGTGTCCCCTCTTCTTCATGTCTCTTCTACATCAACATGTGTCCCCTCTTCTCATGTCTCTTCTACATCAACATGTGTCCCCTCTTCTTCATGTCTCTTCTACATCAACATGTGTCCCCTCTTCTTCATGTCTCTTCTACATCAACATGTGTCCCCTCTTCTTCATGTCTCTTCTACATCATCAACATGTGTCCCCTCTTCTTCATGTCTCTTCTACATCAACATGTGTCCCCTCTTCTTCATGTCTCTTCTACATCAACATGTGTCCCCTCTTCTTCATGTCTCTTCTACATCAACGTGTCCCCTCTTCTTCATGTCTCTTCTACATCAACATGTGTCCCCTCTTCTTCATGTCTCTTCTACATCAACATGTGTCCCCTCTTCTTCATGTCTCTTCTACATCAACATGTGTCCCCTCTTCTTCATGTCTCTTCTACATCAACATGTGTCCCCTCTTCTTCATGTCTCCTACATCAACATGTGTCCCCTCTTCTTCATGTCTCTTCTACATCAACATGTGTCCCCTCTTCTTCATGTCTCTTCTACATCAACATGTGTCCCCTCTTCTTCTCTACTCATGTCTCTTCTCTTACATCAACATGTGTCCCCTCTTCTTCATGTCTCTTCTACATCAACATGTGTCCCCTCTTCTTCATGTCTCTTCTACATCAACATGTGTCCCCTCTTCTTCATGTCTCTTCTACATCAACATGTGTCCCCTCTTCTTCATGTCTCTTCTACATCAACATGTGTCCCCTCTTCTTCATGTCTCTTCTACATCAACATGTGTCCCCTCTTCTTTCATGTCTCTTCTACATCAACATGTGTCCCCTCTTTCATTCACCATGTGTCCCCTCTTCTTCATGTCTCTTCTACATCAACATGTGTCCCCTCTTCTTCATGTCTCTTCTACATCAACATGTGTCCCCTCTTCTTCATGTCTCTTCTACATCAACATGTGTCCCCTCTTCTTCATGTCTCTTCTACATCAACATGTGTCCCCTCTTCTTCATGTCTCTTCTACATCAACATGTGTCCCCTCTTCTCATGTCCTCTTCTACATCAACATGTGTCCCCGTCTTCTTCAGGTCTCTTCTACATCAACATGTGTCCCCTCGTCTTCATGTCTCTTCTACATCAACATGTGTCCCCTCTTCTTCTTCATGTTCTCTTACATCAACATGTGTCCCCTCTTCTCCATGTCTCTTCTACATAACATGTGTCCCCTCTTCTCCATGTCTCTTCTACATCAACATGTGTCCCCTCTTCTCCATGTCCTTCTTCTACATCAACATGTGTCCCCTCTTCTCCATGTCTCTTCTCCATCAACATGTGTCCCCTCTTCTTCCATGTCTCTTTCTACCTCAACATGTGTCCCCTCTTCTCCATGTCTCTTCTACATCAACATGTGTCCCCTCTTCTTCATGTCTCTTCTACATCAACATGTGCCCCTCTTCTTCACGTCTCTTTCTACAATCAACATGTGTCCCCTCTTCTCATGTCTCTTCTACATCAACATGGTCCCCTCTTCTTTCATGTCTCTTCTACATCAACATGTGTCCCCTCTTCTTCATGTCTCTTCTACATCAACATGTTCCCCTCTTCTCCATTCTCCTTCTACATCAACATGTGTCCCCTTCTTCTTCATGTCTCTTCTACATCAACATGTGTCCCCTCTTCTTCATGTCTCTTCTACATCAACATGTGTCCCCTCTTCTTCATGTCTCTTCTACATCAACATGTGTCCCCTCTTCTTCATGTCTCTTCTACATCAACATGTGTCCCCTCTTCTTCATGTCTCTTCTACATCAACATGTGTCCCCTCTTCTTCATGTCTCTTCTACATCAACATGTGTCCCCTCTTCTTCATGTCTCTTCTACATCAACATGTGTCCCCTCTTCTTCATGTCTCTTCTACATCAACATGTGTCCCCTCTTCTTCATGTCTCTTCTACATCAACATGTGTCCCCTCTTCTTCATGTCTCTTCTACATCAACATGTGTCCCCTCTTCTTCATGTCTCTTCTACATCAACATGTGTCCCCTCTTCTTCATGTCTCTTCTACATCAACATGTGTCCCCTCTTCTTCATGTCTCTTCTACATCAACATGTGTCCCCTGATTCTTCCATGTCTCTTCTACAAGTCAACATGTGTCCCCTCTTCTTCATGTCTCTTCTACATCAACATGTGTCCCCTCTTCCTTCATGTCTCTTCTACATCAAACATGTGTCCCCCTCTTCTTCATGTCTCTTCTACATCAACATGTGTCCCCTCTTCTTCATGTCTCTTCTACATCAACATGTGTCCCTCTTCTTCATGGCTCTTCTAACATCAACATGTGTCCCCGTCTTCTCCATGTCTCTTCTACATCAACATGTGTCCCCTCTTCTTCATGTCTCTTCTACAAATCACATGTGTCCCCTCTCTTCATGTCTCTTCTACATCAACATGTGTCCCCTCTTCTTCATGTCTCTTCTACATCAACATGTGTCCCCCCTCTTCTTCAATGTCTCTTCTACATCAACATGTGTCCCTCTTCTTCATGTCTCTTCTACATCAACATGTGTCCCCTCTTCTTCATGTCTCTTCTACATCAACATGTGTCCCCTCTTCTTCATGTCTCTTCTACATCAACATGTGTCCCCTCTTCTTCATGTCTCTTCTACATCAACATGTGTCCCTCTTCTTCATGTCTCTTCTACATCAACATGTGTCCCCTCTTCTTCATGTCTCTTCTACATCAACATGTGTCCCCTCTTCTTCATGTCTCTTCTACATCAACATGTGTCCCCTCTTCTTCATGTCTCTTCTACATCAACATGTGTCCCCTCTTCTTCATGTCTCTTCTACATCAACATGTGTCCCCTCTTCTTCATGTCTCTTCTACATCAACATGTGTCCCCTCTTCTTCATGTCTCTTCTACATCAACATGTGTCCCCTTCTTCTCATGTCTCTTCTACATCAACATGTGTCCCCTCTTCTTCATGTCTCTTCTACATCAACATGTGTCCCCTCTTCTTCATGTCTCTTCTACATCAACATGTGTCCCCTCTTCTTCATGTCTCTTCTACATCAACATGTGTCCCCTCTTCTTCATGTCTCTTCTACATCAAATGTGTCCCCTCTTCTTCATGTCTCTTCTACATCAACATGTGTCCCCTCTTCTTCATGTCCTTCTACATCAACATGTGGTCCCCTCTTCTCCATGTCCTTCTACATCAACATGTGTCCCCTCTTCTTCATGTCTCTTCTACATCAACATGTGTCCCCTCTTCTTCATGTCTCTTCTACATCAACATGTGTCCCCTCTCAGTCTCTATTCTTCATGTTCTTGCTACGCTACATCAACATGTGTCCCCTCTGTGGAAAGAGACTCTGAAAGTTTCAGGAACAAAGATTCTCTCTCTTTTTGATCCATTTCTATAAAAACCTGTCTGAAAATGAGCTGAAGTTTTTCCTTGTACGATGTGAGGGTCTAAGGACAGAGGGTGTCGTATTGTCATACTGATATTTTGTACAAACTGTAAAGTCCACTGAGACAAATGTAACATTTGTGATATTGGGCTATATAAATAAACATTGATTGATTGATTGATGATTGATCAGATTTTGGCCACTTTGTGATGTCATAACGATGTTTTGGCTTCTGTAGCCATTAGCCAATCAGCAACCAAGGTAACCCCCCCACCTTATCACCTGAATCTCCTCCTAGAGCACCATTAGCCGCGTTCACACCCAGTACTTTGCCGTACTTAGTGCCCAGCACTTAGTACCCCTATGGAACTAAGTACAGATCGCGTTCACACCGGAATAAGTCCCTGAGGGAGGATTAGGCAAATGAGCCGCTGACGTCACTTCTTCTTCTTCTGCTTTGGGTTTACTGGCAGGCCGCAAACAACTTCACGGCGTATACTGCCACCCGGAGTCCCCGGCCGGAAGTCTCTGGAGTTGGGGACTTCCGAGTAAATCTTCAGAACGCCGACACCTCCTCATCTCCACCGCTCCCATGTTTTCTTTTGTGTTGCCATAAGTTAGTCTCTGCGTTTGTGCGCTGGGCTAATGCTAATGCTAATAATGCTAATGCGAGGATAATAAAATGGCGGCTCTACAAAGCATTTCAGAGTTTTACGGGGCGTGGTTTGCAATTCGCCCAGCCAATCAGAACTGGGGCACTTTTTTCCCCCAGGAGAGTACCACCTCTCAGCAGGCACTAAAAATGGGGGTAAAAGTTCCCGGCACTAAGTACTCTTTTTGGTGTGAACGCGCCATAAGGGGTACTAACGGAACTAAACGGGAAATGTACTCCGGTGTGAACGCGCCTATTGAGTTCTTTGTAACCAAATGTCTCTCAGAGGGGCGTGGGGAGGGGCTCCTTATTTTCATCTAAAGTAACAGAGAATCAGCACTTTGGAAACAGGGCTGAAACAGAGGGGATTATGGGTAATGCTGCAATGATCTGTTTGGTGTTTCAGCCAATCAGAGACAGGCTCTGGATATATCTGAGACCTGTGATATGTTGATGAGAACAGGATGATAGGGGACCTTTAACTAAAGTGATTTTGTTGCACCTCTGCAGGAGTATTGCTGCTCTGACGCTCATCTCCTTGGCGACGCTGATGAACTTTCCCAACCCGCTGAACGCGATGCAGATTCTGTGGATCAACATCATCATGGACGGCCCCCCCGCTCAGAGGTACAGGGCATCATGGGAAATGTAGTCATTGTTTCAAAAATAAAAGTGTGTGCGTGTGGATCTTTTAATCCCCCTGAGAAACGATTGTGATATCGGTCTGTGTAAATGATGTCATCGCCCAATTTGCATAATGTGTGTGTCTCTCTCTCTCTCTCTCTGTGTGTGTGTGTTCTCAGTCTGGGTGTGGAGCCCGTGGATCAGGATGTGATCCGGCAGCCCCCCCGTAATGTTCGGGACAGCATCCTGACTCGCTCCCTGCTCAGCAAAGTGCTGCTGTCGGCGTTCATCATCGTCTGTGGGACGCTCTTCGTCTTCTGGAGGGAGGTGGGTCTCCTCTTCATCAACTTGCATCTTTCGGGCTATAGATATTGGTCAAAATTATTCATGGGAGCCTGCCTGCAGGCGCCAGTCTCAGGACACCTCCACTCTGAGGACACCTCCACTCTGAGGACTCCTCCACTCTCAGGACACTTCCACTCTCAGGACAGGAAGTGCATGCACGCTAAGAATTACAGAATAAAATTGCCACTTTCCGAACAGGAAATGCACACAAATACAAAATAAAATCTTACTGACACTTATTATATCTATATATATCTATATATATTTATATAAATATATATAGATATATACCCATGGTGGGACCCCTGAGTCAGACGGTGCGTCTTGGTCACGCTTCATATCGGCCGGCCCGGGAAGGAAGAGGCACGCAGAGTGGGGGAAGTCCCCCACCCCAACGCAGCACACCCTCCCGGCCATCAGAGTCGAACCCGCAGTTCGGAGGAACCGACCGCCAGCGCACCGGCACTAGGCCGGGCCGGTGGAGGGCCTCCGATGGTGGGTCGCGTTTGCCATTCGATCAGTGAGAGGAGAGGAGAAAATGCAACAAGAATGGTCAAAATTCGTTAATATATGGATGAGTGGGGGGGGGGAATGGCTGGACACAGGCCGTGGGGGGACAGGTTGAAATAGCCAAAAAAAGACAAATCATAAAACCGGGGAAAAGTGAAAAAAAGTGTCCGAAAATAGGCCCTCGTGAGGCGGGCAGAATCCCCTGTCAACTCCCGTTACATTCCTCCATGGTGTCATTTGAGCGAAAAATGGCTAAGTCAACTTTTACGAGAACCAGGCTGGGGGGGGTCAAAAGGGCTTGACCAAGGCCGACCCAAAGTGCACGGTGGGCGGACTCATCACCTCCGTGATGAGTCCCCATTGTGATTTGAAAACTTCCATCAGACGAGTCCTTCGGGGGGCGGGGTCACTTCCTGTACTGAGAGTGGAGGTGTCCTGACAGTGGAGCCTACGCCGAAACTGTCCTGAGAGTGGAGGCCTACAGGCAGACCCCTCTCAAATTATTCATGTGTTTCTTTATTTAATCTGTCATGAAAACACAAAGTCACCAACACTCATGGTCTTTAAACAAGCCAGAAATATAAAGGTGCAGGAATGAGTCCGAGCACCCTGGCATGACTCAGCATTTTACCCCTGGTCTGGAGGTCAATGGTTTTCTGAATGTGTTTTTGGTTGTTAGCATGAAATAAGGTCTGTGGTTAACACAAGCTGAAGTGTCTAAATGAGACGATTAAACGTCATCACGCCCAACATTAGCCACCTTTAGCTTAGCGGTGGGGAAGTTAAGTCATGTGACCGTGCTGTGTTCCTTTATAGCCCAACATTTGCCTCCTTTAGATTAGCGGTGGTGACGTGAAGTCATGTGACCGTGCTGTAGTTCCTTTATTGCCCAACATTAGCCTCCTTTAGCTTAGCGGTGGGGAAGTGAAGTCATGTGACCGTGCTGTGTTCCTTTATAGCCCAACATTAGCCACCTTTAGCTTAGCGGTGGGGAAGTGAAGTCATGTGACCGTGCTGTAGTTCCTTTATAGCCAAACATTAGCCTCCTTTAGGTTAGCGGTGGTGACGTGAAGTCATGTGACCGTGCTGTAGTTCCTTTATAGCCCAACATTAGCCTCCTTTAACTTAGCGGTGGGGAAGTGAAGTCATGTGACCGTGCTGTAGTTCCTTTATAGCCAAACATTAGCCTCCTTTAGCTTAGCGGTGGTGACATGAAGTCATGTGACCGTGCTGTAGTTCCTTTATAGCCAAACATTAGCCACCTTTAGCTTAGCGGTGGTGACATGAAGTCATGTGACCGTGCTGTAGTTCCTTTATTGCCCAACATTAGCCACCTTTAGCTTAGCGGTGGTGACGTGAAGTTACGTGACCGTGCTGTAGTTCCTTTTATAGCCCAACGTTAGCCACCTTTAGCTTAGCGGTGGTGACGTGAAGTTACCTGACCGTGCTGTAGTTCCTTTATAGCCCAACGTTAGCCACCTTTAGCTTAGCGGTGGTGACGTGAAGTCATGTGACCGTGCTGTAGTTCCTTTTATAGCCCAACGTTAGCCACCTTTAGCTTAGCGGTAGTGACGTGAAGTTACGTGAGCGTGCTGTAGTTCCTTTTATAGCCCAACGTTAGCCACCTTTAGCTTAGCGGTAGTGACGTGAAGTTACGTGAGCGTGCTGTAGTTCCTTTTATAGCCCAACGTTAGCCACCTTTAGCTTAGCGGTAGTGACGTGAAGTTACGTGAGCGTGCTGTGGTTCCTTTATAGCCCAACTTTAGCCGCCTTTAGGCAAACATTTCCAAGTAAAAGAGGACAATATGCTAACATTTAAAACCAGATAAGATGTCCTTCTTTGTGCCTGATATACAGTGGGGCAAAAAAGTATTTAGTCAGCTACCAATTGTGCAAGTTCTCCCACTTAAAAAGATGAGAGGCCTGTAATTTTCATCCTAGGTACACTTCAACTATGAGACAGAATGGGGGGAAAGAATCCAGGAAATCACATTGTAGGATTTTTAATGAATTAATTGGTAAATTCCTCGGTAAAATAAGTATTTGGTCACCTACAAACAAACAAGATGTCTGGCTCTCACAGACCTGTAACTTCTTCTTTAAGAGCCTCCTCTGTCCTCCACTTGTTAACTGTATTAATGGCACCTGTTTGAACTCGTTATCAGTATAAAAGACACCTGTCCACAACCTCAAACAGTCACACTCCAAACTCCACTATGGCCAAGACCAAAGAGCTGTCAAAGGACACCAGAAACAAAATTGTAGACCTGCACCAGGCTGGGAAGACTGAATCTGCAATAGGTAAGCAGCTTGGTGTGAAGAAATCAACTGTGGGAGCAATTATTAGAAAATGGAAGACATACAAGACCACTGATAATCTCCCTCGATCTGGGGCTCCACGCAAGATCTCACCCCGTGGGGTCAAAATGATCACAAGAACGGTGAGCAAAAATCCCAGAACCAGACGGGGGGACCTAGTCAATGACCTGCAGAGAGCTGGGACCAAAGTAACAAAGGCTACCATCAGTAACACACTACGCCGCCAGGGACTCAAATCCTGCAGTGCCAGACGTGTCCCCCTGCTTAAGCCAGTACATGTCCAGGCCCGTCTGAAGTCTGCTAGAGAGCATTTAGATGATCCAGAAGAGGATTGGGAGAATGTCATATGGTCAGATGAAACCAAAATAGAACTTTTTGGTAAAAACTCAACTAGACGTGTTTGGAGGAGAAAGAATGCTGAGTTGCATCCAAAGAACACCTACTGTGAAACATGGGGGTGGACACATCATGCTTTGGGGCTGTTTTTCTGCAAAGGGACCAGGACGACTGATCCGTGTAAAGGAAAGAATGAATGGGGCCATGTATCGTGAGATTTTGAGTGACAACCTCCTTCCATCAGCAAGGGCATTGAAGATGAAACGTGGCTGGGTCTTTCAGCATGACAATGATCCCAAACACACCGCCCGGGCAACGAAGGAGTGGCTTCGTAAGAAGCATTTCAAGGTCCTGGAGTGGCCTAGCCAGTCTCCAGATCTCAACCCCATAGAAAATCTTTGGAGGGAGTTGAAAGTCCGTGTTGGCCAGCGACAGCCCCAAAACATCACTGCTCTAGAGGAGATCTGCATGGAGGAATGGGCCAAAATACCAGCAACAGTGTGTGAAAACCTTGTGAAGACTTACAGAAAACGTTTGACCTCTGTCATTGCCAACAAAGGGTATATAACAAAGGATTGAGATGAACTTTTGTTATTGACCAAATACTTATTTTCCACCATAATTTTCAAATAAATTCTTTAAAAATCCTACAATGTGATTTCCTGGATTCTTTCCCCCATTCTGTCTCTCATAGTTGAAGTGTACCTAGGATGAAAATTACAGGCCTCATCATTTTAAGTGGGAGAACTTGCACAATTGGTGGCTGACTAAATACTTTTTTGCTGTTCACAGCTGCATGCAACTTACCATATTGAAGACTTCATTTATATTTTATTAAACCTGTTTTCTTTTTATTATCTTGGATCTTTAATGACTGATTTTAAATGTAATAGTCATTTTAAAACTGTCGTTTTTATGTTACCGAAATCTATAAATAGACTCAGTTGAGAGTGGACGTGATTTTCAGACGTGTTTTTGTGTTTTAGTTGCAGGACAACGTGATCACTCCTCGAGACACGACGATGACCTTCACCTGCTTCGTCTTCTTCGACATGTTCAACGCCCTCAGCTCCCGCTCTCAGGTAACTCCTGATGCTCCTCCTCCTCAGACATCACTCTTTCTCTTTCATATATATATATATAAAAATCTCCCGCTCTCAGGTAACTGCAGATATTGCTCTTTTAGTTTACTCTGATTTTACCTTCATTAACGTGTGTGTGTGTGTGTGTGTGTGTGTGTGTGTGTGTGTGTGTGTGTGTGTGTGTGTGTGTGTGTGTGTGTGTGTGTGTGTGTGTGTGTGTGTGTGGTGTGTGTGTGTGTGTGTGTGTGTGTGTGTGTGTGTGTGTGTGTGTGGTGTGTGTGTGTGTGTGTGTGTGTGTGTGTGTGTGTGTGTGTGTGTGTGTGTGTGTGTGTGTGTGTGTGTGTGTGTGTGTGTAGACTCGCCTGGTGTATGAGCTGGGTTTTTGCAGTAACAGGACGTTCTGTTTCTCGGTCCTTGGCTCCATCATGGGTCAGCTGCTCGTCATCTACTTCCCCCCCCTGCAGAGCGTCTTCCAGACGGAGAGCCTCTACTTCACAGGTACTACTACTCTACTAATACTACTACTATACTACTGTAGTACTACTACTGTACTAATACTACGGTACTTCTACCACAGTACTGTTACTATAGAGTGTCTCCCATGGCCTCAGTATCACATCATCTAGCCAGCATTTTGACCCTCCATAGGAACGGCTGTATTTTAAATTTTATTTAACCTTTATTTAACCAGATAAAAGCATTGAGATAGAATCTCATTTTCGATGCTGACCTGGCCAAGAAGGCAGCAACGTTACACATAACACAAAACACAAACATATAACATACAGAGAACACAACTAAGAAAACAAAAGAGGAAAAAGCAGTCCCTACATTGAGCACATTAGGACAGTCAGAAAGGCACTACTTATTACTGCAAGAGCAGCTGGTGGTAAGGACCTCAGACAACTTCAACTTAAAACATGCTATAGAGACAAGTGCCCTCAGTTTGAGGCGTGATTGAAGGTCATTCCGAGACCAAGGAGCATAATAGAAAAGACTCCTTTTCCCAGCCTCAGTCCGCACAGCAGGAACCTGGACCCGTATCCAGGCTCTGGGTCTGAGGCTGTGAGAGTCACAAACTAGAGCAAATCTGGCTCATATGTATAACACTGCGCTAAACTTTGCCTAGCAACCCCCGTTGTTGCCCAGGAGGCGGAGCTAACCACGCACTTCAAGTTAGACCAGCACCTCACCCTTAACCCTGTTGGTGTTTTAGTGTAAATATATGGAGTTGTTTTTTGAACCTGTTAAATTCCCCTGTTTGTTCCCCTGTGTGTTCAGACCTGCTGTTCCTGGTGAGCCTCACTTCCTCCGTGTGCATCGTCTCCGAGGCCGTGAAGGTGCTGGAGAGGTGGAGGGGGTCCCAGAGGAGCCCCCCCGCCTCCGACTGCTTCCACGAGGTATGACCTCCCCCCCCCCCCCCCGCTGACCGAGGAGGAGGAGGAAGAGGAAGGAGCCTCACAATCGATGGCACTGACTCGTTAAGTTTCCTGATGTGAGGAGGAGGAAGATTTCTGGTCTGTGACTGGAAGAAGCTCCCAGCCTCGGGGGGTTTATAGTCTAGCTGCCAGCAGTGTGAACGGATGTTGAGGACCCCAAAGTTCTATATTAGAAATGTAGAGTAGGGTCTCCAGCACATAGAAACTGCCGGATGCTAACCTGCAGATGTTGGGACATTTGCACGATTAGTACAAGTTGTGTTTGATAGCATATATGCAGACGGTAGCTAAAACGTTTTGAGGCCCCTAAAACTTAAAAATCGACCCAAAATGCATCCTAATCCGCCCACAGAGAGTATAGATACATGTCCTCTTTCTGGTTGAAACTGCTATTGTTGACCCTGAAGATGTCAGAAATTGATTCAGCGTCCCTCAACAAACCTCAAAATGTTATAAATCGGCCAAGCCACCTTTTAAGCTATTGCCTATATATGCTAATTAACACTAATTAACCCAATTTATGCTAATTGTACAAAAGTCCCAGCATCTGCAGGTTAGCATCCGGCAGTTTCTATGAGCTGGAGACCCTACTCTACATTTCTATCCTCACACTTTGGGGTATCAACATTTCCAGGTTCACAGCAGGACTCTATGAGCTGGTTAGCAGACGGTTATTGGACTGGACTTGTGTTAAACTGGGGGCAAGATGGATGCCCCCCCCCCCCCTCCATCGTGCTTTAGGACGGTTTCTTCTCCCTGAAGGACGGAGGAGACGTGCAGTTCTTCTTTTTTAATCTTCAGAAGGTGTTGACCACTTATCCACATGTATAAGGGTGGAGGTGTAACGGCACTCAAACAAGCTGAAACACTTCCTTCTGAGGTTAAAGTCAATTCTGCTGCTAAAATGAAAGCGCTGACAGATTCCCGTGTTCTGAATGATTGAAAGGAAACGAGGTGTGTGTGCACAGCTCACAAAAACAGATTCGTGTTTTTACACATTTTTCTAAAAGTCTTGATAAAAGTGAGATTTTTATTTACTTTTAATTTACAATATCATCATTCCCCAATATAATTAGAATACGAGAAAGTCCCTCAAATGTTTTACGTGATTTAAACATTATTGTTATTGTTACTACACTATTTTCCGATCCGCTCTAATTCATCACGAGTGGTTCGTCGTCCCTCTTTGAGTAAAGAGTGTTTCCAGAACTCTGCAGACAAAGAGATTTAAAGGAACATTTACTATGTTTTCATTTCCTTTGGGTACGGACCAACAGAGGGGAAGTACAGCTGCAAAAGTGACCAAAACATCCGAACCAAAAACCAGTGAATTAGTAATGAACGTGTCGTTACACCTCCACTTCACGGCTTGCTTTCTGTGATCTGTGCTTGTTTTTTTTTATGCTTCTTCCTGAGCACACTGCTTTTTATTTAAATTAAAATGGTATTTGTACAGCTGATGACAAATGCTTTTCTCTTGTCATATTTAATATAAATAAATAAAGTTCCTGTTGAAAATCCTGATGTTAAAATGTGGATTCCGGCCTCGAAACGCACTACGCGGTGCGTTCAGGGTACACACACTTTCTAGTAAAGATGCATTGTTCTCATCCTGTGCCTTAGAGACGTCATTTTAAATATCTCCAATATAAAAACCCTTTAATCAGTGTCAGCACTTAAAGGGTTTCACAAGAGAATCTCCTCAAAATAGTAATAAAAAGGTTTATTTACAATTTGTATTAAATGTGGATGTATTCTCTTCTTCACCGGGGGGTCGTCTTTTCTTTATAGGACATGGTGCTTTCTGGGAAATGTAGTTCTAGCAGTTGAAAGTTTAATTTATTTAGGTTTTGGCCTGAAAACATGAACACTAGAAAATAAAAATATATTTTCACTCGGTTTCCAAAACATTCAATCCTGTTTTATTTGTGCAAAACTGTGATGTGTTTCTCAATATGAAGTAAAATATGATCCAACCTCTATCTCTCTTTCCAGGTTTTTGTTTGTAATGCTGCGTTCACAGCGGACGCAAAGCAAATCGTTTGACTATGAATCAGAAAACCAAAACAGCCAATATCACCCAGCTGCAGCAAGACGGTACACGACGCTACGGTGGCTGAGAGACATTGATAGACATGGCAGATTAAAAACAAATTGCAAATGTTATTGTAGCATTTTAAGCAACTATTAAGCAAATAAATTAATAACCTAGTCTATCCGTTTGAGACACAACAGTATATGACTTTCAGCACAAATCATTTTGTCTAATTAATAAATTAAAACAAAAAGGTGGCTTAGTAAACTTTATTTTAATTTTTTAGTACATATAAAATAGGTATTAATGAGATCGTCTATTAACTAGAGAATGCTTTATGTTGAAAAGCTGACGCTAAACTGCTATGCTGAAATGTAATGTGTAAGAAGAAAGTGAATCATTTAGATTGAAATGATACATGAACACTGGGGGCTTGAATGTGTGATGAGAGAAGAAAGGAAAGTAAGAAGGCTTGGAAAAGCAGCAGAATATTTGAACTAACTTCATGGCGAGTGGTCTGTCGCCATGGCAACGGCATTTGATGACACCCCATAATATGCCTAGATGTGTTGATGGCTGCATCGTTACCAAACCTGTGACGTTTTGGGCCGTTTGGAGCATTTTCACTGAAGTTATGAGAGAACTGTGTTTCATGGCGAGCATTATGTTGCCATGGCAACGGCATTTGAAGAAATCTCAAAACTGTCCAGCTGAACTTACAATAGGCGCGTTCACACCGCAGTACTTTTCCCACAAAGGTTCATGAGAACTCTTTAGTTCTCATGAACTAAGTACAGATCGCGTTCACACCGGAATAAGTCCCTGAGGGAGGATTAGGCAAATGAGCCGCTGACGTCACTTCTTCTTCTTCTGCTTTGGGTTTACTGGCAGGCTGCAAACCACTTCACGGCGTATACTGCCACCCGGTCATTGTGAATGTGAAAGTGTTTGAAACTGATCTTTTTTCAGTCATTGAGCTTCATATTCTTCCACCTCTCTCTCAATGCTCCATTTCTTTCAGGACTGAGCAGGAAAGAGCAGATTCTCCGGAACCATCCTGTGTTTCCCTGAGGAGTGACCGGTCCACAGGGGACCCCACAGCTTTCAGATTTAATTCCTAAGTATGTTAACAGAACCTTCTGAGCTCAAGTTGTCCTATAAGGAAATTCAAATGTAAGACATTTGTTGTTGACATTGTTTTTTTTACCATTACAACCAACCTGAATAATCTTGCTGCACTTTGCATGAAAGCAGGGACGTGCACAGGTACGGGCTAATGTTGCCCGGGCAACGGCCCTTTTGCCATTTTTGCCTGACCTGCCCCTCTGGAGAGAGCAAGAGTTATTTTTGTTTTCTGTTGTGGCCAAATCAACATGATAAGCCCACAATTAGTATTGTAGCGTCTCGCTGCGGGAAACACACCTTGTCCGCGCTGTCAACTGCCCCCAGTCACGTGACTTTGTTTACAATCTGACAGCTGGAAGCAAAGGACAGCCCTCCAACCTCATATGGCTATGGTGATCACACCAAACGCCTGCCCTGGCTCCTGCCCGTTAGAATATAGGGGACAAACCAGGGGACTTTACTTCCTCTTGACACTGTCGGTTACTTACAAAAAAAACACCTAAATATACTTGTTATTGTGCTTCTGTCTTTCTGTGTCTTTTACTCTGCTCCGTAAACTCCCTCACCCTCGCTCTCTTGTCTTAATCGCCCTCTCACGGAGAACACTTCACTGTCCCGCTTTATTGTAAGATTTCTGCCATGTCTCCACTTTAGCTTGATCATCTCTGTTATTAAGTTATGGAATTCTAAATAAATAAGTAATTAGATACCTTACCGTTACTACGCTCATAAAGAATGATAAGAATAATGCGTATTGAACTGGTTTAATTAATTAGTGAGTTTATTTAAGGTAATTATAGAATGTTATCAGTAGCCTATGTCTGCACAGCAGTAACAACGGTAAAACTACATTAAAACAGAATTGTCCCCATTGTTTCTTTAATAGTTACTAACATTAGATATTTTAATGAGATATGGACCGCAACAAAAAATGTGCCTGAATAACGAATTTAGCAGTTGGACATAAAAGCCAACTGAGTGTCACTTGCTATGACAGTGTTGTGTTTTTATTTTATGAGTTTATGTTAGAATTTTCAAAAGGTCTTGTGTTTTTTTTTCGGGGGGGGAAGCCCTTTTTCCAGTTTAGAGCAATAGCCCCTCCAAATGTCTGTGCACGCCCCTGCATGAAAGTGCTTAATCGCTCAGTCTGACAGCTGCAGAGCAAGGAGGAAGTACGGAGATAAAAGTCACTAACTCACCGGCGCTAACTCACCGGCGCTCAGACACGGGCCCTTACTATATAACTATTCTATATATTTATTGTGCCCCCCTCAGAAAATAACTGGCCCCCCAGTGGCCCCCCCAGTCAAATTGGTCTAGAACCGCCACTGGACTTCAGACAGGCCGCTCTCCATTGTGACTGCGCTGGCCAGGCTGTTACATGTTATGAAACTCTGAGGAATCAGAAACCAGGAAATGGATAAAAAAGTTCACAACATTTGAAGAAGTCACTTTCAACTCCAGGAAATAAATATATTTGTATTTACAGATTATTTTTGGACATACAGTTCAACTGAGTAAATTATTAATGTGTTAAAAAACAGACTCTATTTTCCTCCTGCTCCTCTGTCGAAGTGTAAAATGGAGTCTGGCAGTTTGACTTCCTACTTTCACTTTTAACACCCTTCCCTGTCTGTAGCTCCTCCCTTTGTTTCATAACCAGCTTCATCACATGGACAAACGGACTATGTTCAGTTGCTCTCACAGTAAGACGGTTACAAAAACACGTATAAGAACCATAGAAATAGACATGAAGCTAAAAACAAGCAAGACGAAGTTATTGAAGAAAATAAATAATACCACAGAGTGAAAAATAAATCTAAAAACATCCTGCATCCAAAACCTTACGTGTTGTTGTTTTGGGTACTCTAGTGTTAACTGAGCAGTGCATTGTTCCATATTATATATATTTGTTTGTGGAATAGTATTACTGCTGCATGAATGCTCAAGTTTCATTTTGTAGATTATTTAAACTCCTTTATATACTCTTCGTTTGTCCTATCAGCAGCAATGCAGATTCTATGAGATCAATATATGTGTGGAGCATTTTCCTGTGATAACCACGTATCTCTAAAAAGTCAACTTTTCATGAGTTTTTCAGATCAACAACCTGTTTTCAGCTTTGTGACGGTGCATTTTCTAGCTGATCCAAGAGGCTCAAGGAGGAAACTGCCTTAACACATACTAAACATAATAAATACTTGATCCTAGTTCATCTTAAACATTTGGCATATCAAGCACATGAAATGTAACTCCATACTAAAGCACATGCCAAAATGTTACAGTAACTCTCACTGCCAGAAAGCCACAGAAATGTCCACAGAGAGTTAGATACAAACAAACAAGTTAACCTAGAGACCGAAATAAATCTACCTTAAATTAGCTAGTGAACATTAGCTATTAATTTAACAAGCTAGCCAGCTATCCAACACGCTCGTGGATATATAAAGGATGAATAAGAGAACTGGACACTCCCTTCATTCCTGTCAGTTATTCAGTGGCGCTTGAAGCCCAAAGTGGAGCGAGTATAGACTCTGAAAGTACCCGGACGTGGGCCCATAGAGCATGCGCAGTTGAGTTTCCCTTAAGCCTTGCCTCTGATCTCCCGCTCTGTATGTGTGCGTGTGTGTGGTCACGTGATTAACGGGGACCGGTTAAAACCGACGGAAAGCGGCCGGAGTTCCTGCACCGACTTGTGGGTAGAAGAGCAACCAGCAGCCCGCACACTTCTGCACACACACTCCTGCACACACACTCTCTCCCCGGTTATGTCCTCTCTCTGCGTGCTGCGGACCCGCCTGCCCGCCGCCATGCAGAGGCGCTTCAGCCTGGATGTCTCGGCTCCTCTGCTCCGGACGCAGGGCTACATCGACGGCCGCTGGGTCTCCGCAGCCTCGGTGTTCCCGGTGCTGGACCCGGCCACCGGGGAGGAGATCGCCCGGGTGTCGGACTGCGGCCCGGCCGAGGCCAAGCAGGCTGTGGACGCTGCCTACAGAGCCTTTCACTCCTGGAAGCTCCGCAGCGCCAAGGTACGGCACAGAAATGACACATTTAAAAATAAAATGTCGCTTGATTTCCAAAAGAACACATGCATATCCTAACATATCAGTCCTTTCTTAGTATTTAGACCCGATATGTATTTCTAAGTACTGATGTACACCTGAACATCAGCAGGAGAGGACTCTTTAAAGTAGAGACACTACATACTGATATACACCTGAACATCAGCAGGAGAGGACTCTTTAAAGTAGAGACACTACATACTGATATACACCTGAACATCAGCAGGAGAGGACTCTTTAAAGTAGAGACACTACATACTGATATACACCTGAACATCAGCAGGAGAGGACTCTTTAAAGTAGAGACACTACACACTGATATACACCTGAACATCAGCAGGAGAGGACTCTTTAAAGTAGAGACACTACATACTGATATACACCTGAACATCAGCAGGAGAGGACTCTTTAAAGTAGAGACACTACATACTGATATACACCTGAACATCAGCAGGAGAGGACTCTTTAAAGTAGAGACACTACATACTGATATACACCTGAACATCAGCAGGAGAGGACTCTTTAAAGTAGAGACACTACATACTGATATACACCTGAACATCAGCAGGAGAGGACTCTTTAAAGTAGAGACACTACATACTGATATACACCTGAACATCAGCAGGAGAGAACTCTTTAAAGTAGAGACACTACATACTGATATACACCTGAACATCAGCAGGAGAGGACTCTTTAAAGTAGAGACACTACATACTGATATACACCTGAACATCAGCAGGAGAGAACTCTTTAAAGTAGA